ATTATCGCATGGCATACAATAAATTGTGGCATGTTTTTTTGTTGTGTATCCATCTGGATTGGCCAGTTGTTTTGATATATCGATTGCTCAAATATTTATCTAAGATCATTCGCTGTTTTCATGTTCGAACATCAAAAGCAATGAGCCATATAGAAGCGAAATTTATCGGTTTTCGGCGATTTTTTTCGTAAAAAATTCTTACTCACCCATTTTAAGTTTTTCTAGTTCATAAATTGTATGTGTGAGTGTGTTTGTGCGAATCATAACGACGGGAATTCCATTTACATGTGTGGAATTCACAATGGATTTTGTTGTTTCTTGTGTTTTTTTTCTGTTTACTATTTCGTTTTGGTCGTCAACTGAAGCCAAAAGGCTTGTCACAATGAAATCCAAACACGTTCAGTGATTACGTATTCGATCCGGCCGTAAGCAATAACGATGATCATGTTATATAGATCAGTTTTATCAGAAATAAAAAGCACAAATCCAATTACATAGTTAAGTTAGAATGTGTTCAATTCAAAGCGGTGAAAACACATATTATTCAATCGAAACTGGATTCATCTTCTTCTTCTTTTTCGTTGTCATTTCTTAATTCTAGTTGGCTGACCATCATTTGCCATTCGCATGGGGACAATCCGAGCCGAGTTCTGTGTGAGTGTGCATCGGGACAGTTAAAGCAAATTGAGGTGCATGTCTCTCTACTGCATCTCTCTTGCGAACGCAACCTCGTAAAAGGTTGTGTTTTATATACTCAAAAGTACACTTTTCTCTCTCCTTCTCTCTCTATCACCATGGGATTTTCTATCCATTGCCTCGAGAAAAAAAACGCCGATCCTAACGATGGCAACGAAAAAAGTTTGCGTAAATTCTGGCCGAATGAAATTTAACGTATTCTGGCTACAACACGAAATGTACGCGCGATAGTAAATCAAGCCGCATTGGCATCAACAGCTTCAGCATCGCAGCATATGAATAGAAGGGAAAAAAAGTGGTCATAGACCTATGAAACATGCGACAACATTGTTCGCAATGCACATAAAAAAGCAACGCTTACGTAAACCATGGCAAGTATAAATGACTATTTATTTTTTTCATTTTGGATAATTTCCACATTGGTTTGTAGCGCGCCTTCAATGTGCACATAGTCGATGATTCGATTTGTCGACGATGGCAGCGGTGGTGATGAAGGTGTCGGTGGAGCAAAAGAGACAGTGAACACGCAATGCAAACGTAAACGAACATGTTAAAAATAAAATTGAGCAACAACAACAACGAAACCACAGCGAGAAGAGAACAGATAAATGAAATAGGAATGGAATGTGACCAACACGTAAACGTAGCGCATTTTTTTTTTCAAGTGATCGAGGCCTCGTCTGTTTTCTGTGGTGTACGGTACATACATATAGGAATGATTGGGGCTCGATCAAGTTTGTGTGTACAATGTACGGTGTGTGGACGGTGAGTGCCAACGGCACACGTACATCAACAATCTTATACATACACAGACACACAGACACACATGCACCAACAGATTCACATGTACATGTGGATAGGAGAAAAAGAGCGACAAGCAATGGCAATAATAACCATAATAGATAAATACTTGAAAGTTATTCACGCGCAATCTGCCAGGCATATTTGGTGCGAGTAAGAGAGACACTCACAAAAATGTGGATAACACTGAAACGAAAGACATGCCGAGAGGTAGAGGGATAGAGAGGAAGAAAGAAATAACGAGCAAGAGCAACGCGCACCGATTATTTCATACCAACACGTTTCCCAGTTTATGTATGCTATTACCTACTGGTTAAATATGAATACTTTTTTTTCGGTACATAGATCAAGGGAGTGAGAGAGCATCAGAGAGGCAGAAGAATGGCTACCATCAAGTATTCGAGTACAAAATCACTAAACACCGACTCTCAACCAACCAACAAATTCAATGTTGTTTACGAAAAAAAAACCAACCAAATAAATCGGTATACGAAGCAAATGCGGTGCGCGTGGATTCATTTATTAAACGGTTTAAGAAGAAGAATACAACAAATGCGATCAGCGAAGACGACGACGACGACATAGCAGAAGCACACATTCCTTAAGCATTTCGTTTCATCTAGTCGCTGGTTGTGTGTAGTTTTTTCTGCTTACTTCTTCTATAATAATATTTCACTCCAGTTGCGACACGGGCGGGAGAGGCGAAGAGAGCACAAGATCTTTTGCTTTATATTCATGCGCTGATTACATAGTTACAGATTATTTATGATTAAATGCTTACATTTGTATATGGATAAAAACGAAATAAACAAAAAAATTGTTATGTTCCAAAGGCATTTGCAGATGAAATGGCCACACCAACAACATGCGTTATGATTACATTCCATGGAAGAGAGAAAGAAAAAAACTCGATTGAAGACTGGTTTTATTTATGATGTGTGATTTATTTATAGATCAATCCAGTTTAATATCACACACACATACACACACACTCACCACACAATGAAAATCAAATAAAATTTATACGATTATAAAGCTTTTCTCTCTCTCTCCCTCATTCTATTTGGTCGATAACTCGCAAGCCAAAACAAAGCTCAGTCATTGTGTGTTTGAACAATGATTCTTATCGTTCGTACGAGTACTTGGAAGCAATTCAAAAGCCATTACGAATCATTCCACTGCTTATGATTCAAAATGAAAATGATATAACTGATTAAAATGATGATGCTTTGTCTATTTTTTTTCCCATCATTCTGCCTATGGAATTGTCGGTGATCAGTATCTAGGCGTCAATAAGCGGTCGATTCAAATATACAGTGGTGCGACTGTTTGAACCATTGCGCCTTTTTAGTTCTTAGAAGTGGACAACAAAAATCACTTTTCAGCCCATTAAAAAAAAATCTAATTCCGATTGGCATTGATATCATTTCATGTTCATGTCACTTCAGTGAGTGAAAAGAAACCATTGGACGTCATCGTCGGACGAGAATACACACACACACACACACATACTTTTGACGTCACACACAACAACACATATTTAAATATAATTACATTCCTTTGATTTGTCCCCGTTTCGTTTGAATTAATTAATTTAAATGCTAGTTCAAAGAAAGAATTATAATTAATTTGTCGTATGCACAAGCCAATTCGGAACGAGCCAGCCATACTAGCTCATTGCTTCTGCTGCTGCCGCTACGGCTGCAGCATTATTGAATGATCTGAATTTATCGCCAACGTTCACCATATAATTTGTGTCCTATTGCCTCGTTTAAAGAAAACGTAAATAACGAACTCTATCTATAAATTGTAGAACAAGCGCAAACGGGCGCGCAAGTGAGCATTCGCACACACGCGCGCGCACATTTGCGCCTCAAGAACACCAATTCAACTCCAAATAAAAAGAAGAGATAGAGCTACAGCACAAAAAATATGTGTCAAATTCCATAAGCACGAAAAATTGTCATCGAAACAGTGTTGATAACATCTTTGTATTTAATTTTGCTCGCACGATTCAACCACACTCGCCTTGCTCATTCCATTCCATTCGCCATTGTATAATATGCACACAATCATTACGGTTTCTTATTTGCCCTATTATTTTCTCTCTCCCTCTCTCTCCGTCTGTATATTCTTTGCTCTTCTGTTTATTTCCATCATCTCAACAACAACAAAAATGGTCGTCTTTCTAGGTCCATGTTGACCATTTTGGCACACTCATTTTTTATTATTTTTTTTCGTTCGTTTTCAATTTCAGCCGCGCAACAACTCACTCTCTCTTGTGTGCGCGTTTACACCACTCTCTGGTCAACTCCCGTTTGAAATGGAAACAAAGAAGAAAACATTTTTTGACGTCACACAAAAATATTCTGTTGCCATAATACAATGTAAGCAATTGTATGCACTCACGTTTTTTTTTTTTCAATGTAAGAGAGCGCGAAATTCCATCAATTCATCTTCGTTTTGTACTGGGCTTAAAAGGCACATTTCAAGCCGACCAGCCAATATGGTGCATATAAACATCATTAATACAAGCTCAACTGAAATTACTTATCGCAAGAAAAACGACAGATGCAGTTATTCTTAGGATTCGGTTAATGGGTATCGAAAAAAGGGAGCCATGTGCGCGCTTCTTTTGCGCGATTTTGCGAACAACCGTAATTGTTTTGAAGGCTATATAGCACTTGAATTGAGTTTCATCAGTGTGTGTTTTTTTTTTCTGCTTTGTTTAAATGTTCGTAGCGAAGAGGTTCAATTCTCGACCGCGAGGCAAAATTTAAAAACTGAGTCACTGGAGACGCAGAAAAAAATACACACATTCCGAATCGTTTTAATTGCGTTACACTGAAATAAAATACAGTAGTCCATGTGCCGAAATCATTCACTTATTTATGATTAATGGCGAAACACTGTCGACAGAGAACGACGGACACAGACAGGGATGGAGAGAAACGTTCAAATTCCGAATGAATTGCAAATATTGATTTAGTTGATTGGTCGCGTGTATCGTGCGCACAAATGAAGCAATTTGTTTCCATTCGATTCGCCGCTCGTTCAATGAAACGATTCATTCATTCAAAAACTAATGAAAAAACAAAATCGGCACACATGCATGTGCATTGTGCAAGTCGTGGACGGCTGTTTGTTCCTTATATCGGATTTTTCTTCTTCTCCTCGGATTTTTGTACTCTCACAACTAGAGAAAATTTCCTGCGATTAAAATTGCAATCGACCTATATTTGTCATAATTTATATGCAGCGCATTCCGACAAGTCGGTCGGCGCGCATTTCGCGAGAGCCAGCACCACACAAAAGCGGTCAAGCGAATGCATTCATTTTAATCGAGTGTGTGTGTGTGTGTGTGTGTGTACTAAGTGTAGTAGTGAGAGCGTCGAATGCAAACCAAACGGAATGAATGAGAAAATGTTCAAGAAGTCGGAATGTAATGAAAGAAAGAAACAGCGACGACAAAAAAAATATGATTAATTTCATTGATGACAAACCTGTCTCTGGGATCAATCCAGGTAGTTTTTTTATTGACATGATCAATATAATAGATCTTGCCGTCGAAGTCTTTTGCGATGTCCCAGCCATTGGGAAGATCTACATTGCTCGGTGGTATATTTGGCATATTATAACTTTAATCCGCTGTGTTTGTGTATCGCAGTTACTCCTTCTTTTCGTTTCACTCGTGCCGTTTATTCCGTTATCAGAAGGGCAGCGACAGCAACACAAGTCGATTCAACACACAAACGAAACTAAAAAACGCGCACAAAAAATTTTCGTCGGCTTTTAAATTGTCGCTGTTGTCCTTTTCTCACTTTGTCACTTTACACACAGTAACTGTTTTTTCCGCTGATTTGCATAAAAGGCCAACTACTTGGCTCAATTGTAATGCAATGAAAAAAAAAAACAACAACATTCAAATTACACAGTGAAAATCTTGGATTTCACTGGCTATTCACTTTGCACAATTTACACGAATTTTTCGTCGAGTGTCAGCATTTGCGCATATTTAATATTAGACTTTGGTTTCACCTCGCGAACATTTCACACACACACCACCAGAAAAAAAAACGAGTAATTTAGAAAAGCGAAGAGAAAAAAGTGTAACCAAGAATGAAAATAATATTATAGCCGATTGATCAAGAGCAGAAGTAGCGGCAGTAGTAGCAACGGCAACGGCAGAAATTCATCGGAGAGCTTTGACTCATTCGCTTGATTTATTTTCATGCCGAATTTTTACGCTCACATTCCGCATGCGATGCCATCCATATTTTTCAGACAGTCATTTTTGCATAATTCTCACACTGGCACGAACTGGCGAATTTATTTAGTTCTTTTTTTTTGCTTTTCTTTTCAGCGATATTTTTTCTTCTTCGTTGTTTCGGATATGGTTCAACTGCGAAATTCCACTACATTTATTTATAAAATATAAACTCTGCCATTTACACACACTGTGCGCTCTCGGCACGATCACGCTCCTTTTTCCCTTTTTTCTCACTTGCAATTTGACGTATTTTTTTTACTGCCACACTGAACTTTTTTGTTGCCTTTTAATATTTATTTCACTGTTTATTTCTATTTGCTCTGCTTTCTTTCATTGAAGTTTTTGGTTACAAATATGCGCATTTTTTTCCCCTTTCAAATATCGATGTGTGTCTGCGGATTTGAAATAATTGAAAGAAAAAAAAAACGATTAAATGAAAAATCCTTTAAATAATTCGTTCTTTTGTTGCTGAATATTCAATTGAAATTGGACTCGCGCGCGTTGATTCAGAATGCATTCGCGTCATGTGCGCACACTGCAATGGCAATAAAATGATCGAGAGCCAACAACAACAACAACAACATCAACGAATTTCGAATGAAAAAAAGAGAAATACACAATCACATTGGCCGAAGGAAAAAAACGACTCACATTGCATTTATTAACATCATAAAGTCACTCTGCGCCGCGGCCATATTGAATTCCACAGTATTTTTTTTCTCAGCTTCTTTCTCTCTTTCTCTCCCTCTTTGGCTACCTATACGTACGCTGAACGGCCGTCGTTGTGTTGTTGTTATTTCTGTATGCTTTTTTTTTATTGTATTACGAAGGCAACGTTGCCACTTCTTATGTTTCGCATTCCAATGTTTTTTTTTCCTCTTTTTCAATCTGTTTCGTTTTTTATTTTATTTTATTTTACTGCCTTTGCTAACTACACGCTAGAGTATGTGTACAAAGTGACATGCTTTTGTAGTATTAAACAAACGAATACACATAGACATAGAGCAGCAGCGACGACTACGACGACGGCGGCGGATACGTACGACAACAAGAACGCAGCTTATTCGAATCGCTTCGGACGGTTGGTCGGTCGGTTGCCGTATGTTTTTTTTTTTGAATGTATTTGAATAGAAAAATGCTTTTGAAAAACGACAACAACAAAAAAACGCACAAAACGAAATGCGATGGAATGAATTAAAGCCAGAAACAGAACTAATGAAATGAACTCTTTCTCTCTGTTCGGACGGTATGTGTGTATGTTTGAGAGAGAGAATGTTTTGGGCTCAGTTGTTATGAAAAGAGTCGTCGAAACGAGAGCGGGAGAGAGCGAGAGAGAGCGAGAGAGAGCGAGAGAGAGAGACAGGGTGATCGGAGAATGAGACAGAAAATGTTGTTGTTGTCGGTTGCGTATACAACGGATTTTTCTCTTCTGATGTTGAACACAAATTGACGGTTATTTTTGTTGTTGTTGTTGTTGTTGTTGTTGTTGCTGTTGATGTCGATTATTATTACCTATTCGAATGTAATGTTATTGTCACTCTTTCAGTCTCGGCCAGCATGCGAGATAACCGCTGCTTTCTACTACAATTCATAAAATCTCGCGATGTCGCACTCTGCACACCGTACACAATCCACACAACCATTCACATTATATACACAAGAACACACTCGGCACCATCCAATTTTTCATTCCGAATCAAAATATGCAAACATCAAAATCGATCATTTGAGAGAGTGTCACACAGCGAAACATCATTTTTTTTCCTTCACTTCTTTCATTGGTTGGGTATTTTATCCACTACAGTGACACAGAAAACTGTTCTAAATACAGTCCAAAGCGCGTATATGAATTATTGCTTGACACCAACGAGAATTTTGCTCAAGCGGATCGAAGATAATGAATACAATTGGTTTTTCGTCAATCAACGCTTCACACAATTGTTGTGACACAATGGAAAATTTGATAAAGTTTTGACGGAAAAACGAGTGTGCGAGCGCTTGTTTTCAAACAAACCGTCATTGATTGGACAAAAAATATTAAATCCATTGTCAACTATCACTCAAAAATGCTTCATTTTCTATTCATCTACATTCATTCAATTTAACTTTATTCACAAAAACTTTCATTGAATCCAAAACCGAATTTCTGGCATTCCTTTTTCTGATTGGAACGCCAACGCTTCAACCAATTTCAATCGAACGATGCGAGATTTCTTTAGAATTTCATGCAAATTCCAATGAAAACAAACCTCTTAGCGAATCAATTCACTAGAAACAACATAGTAGATACTTTTAAACACCACAACGAATTGGAAAAAAAAGAACAACAACAAAAACAAAAACGCAGAAATTTTTTGTAATAGCAAATGTGACTGAACTATTGTACCGCTCGTACAGCACTATCCGTTGCGACGGAATCGATGAACAGCGAACCGATTGTATGGTGTGGATATTTCGATATTTGGTGCTTCGTTCTCTCGTTCGCTCTCCGACTACGTCAACCGCATGCATGTGTGTCTTTAACTTTGCTTCGCTTCGCTTCGCTTCGATTTGTTCGTACGTTGTACAATTTTCCTTTGGCATTATGTGTCACACAGTGTGTGCGCGCGATCCGTTGCTCATATATTGTATTTCGTTGAATTCAACTAATGCTGCTCATGCTCGCTCTGACTGACAAAAGCGAAATAGGCATGCTGATCAAACTCAAATATTTGAAGTTGTGGTTTTTTTTTTCATTTTTTAAACGTTGGCAGTAACAAAGCTTCTGTGTGCTTTACGACATTCAATGGAGCAACAAAGAATTTGATCGTATTTCACATGTAGATGAACGCCTCCTTTTTCTATGAATTCTTTTTCGTCGTCACGACGGATTCCAACTGATAACATTTCCAACTTCAAAATAACGATTATATCATCATCGTGGAAAGAAAAGAACAACACAAAAAAGCGTATCAAGCGTTTGTTACAAGTTCGTTACAAGATTTATTTCATATAAATTAATTTTTTTAGTTATAGGAAATAGTTTTGGGGACATTTAAATTGTTTTTTGTTTCCTTTTGAAAATATACATTATACAAATGAATCAAATGTTTTATGTTCTTTTTCTTGCAAATCATTTTCATCGTTTTTTTTTTGTTTTTATCTCTTTGTTTCACTCGCTAAATATATCTTAAGTCATTGGGTGCTAGTTTTCATCATTATTATACTTATTAATCGGACAATACACATTGAATTTCCATTTCGTTTTCATTGTTTGAATGCATTAATCGTGTGTATGAAAACGGTCTTATGCTTCGGTTGCACGGGTGGCAATTCGTGGTCTGTTGATACGTGGATTGCGTGCTGTGATGTGGATTACTTTCTAGCTTGAAGTGCGTTTGAAAGCCAATCCATCGCTTCGTCTAAACCTTCGCCTTTCGTGGCTGACGTCTTGAATATTTGGAATGTTCTATCTTTCAGAGCGTCCAAGCCGAGCTCTCGGTGCACCTCTGCTAAACTCATACAACCGTCCATATCCTGTTTATTGGCTAATACGACTAAGATCGCTCCGGCAAGCTCGTCCTCCTGCAAAAAAAAAAAACGGGACAAAATCAATTAGTAGGTTCAATGACCGAATTTAAGACAATTTGCCGAAGCAACCGTTCTTCAGCTTCTAGCACTCACTCTCAACATGTATAACAGTTCATCTTTGGAAATGCCTATTCGATCGCGATCCGCCGAATCCACCACGTAGATGATTGCGTCTGTATTGCTGTAGTAACATCTCCAATATGGTCGAATGCTGGTCTGTCCACCCAGATCCCATACTTGAAATTTCAAATTTTTGTACGTCACTTGCTCAACATTGAACCCGATCGTTGGAATTGTTGTTACCACCTCACCGACTTGCAAACGATATAAAATTGTGGTTTTACCGGCCCCATCCAAACCTAAATTTCGCACGAAAAAAAATGTGAGATTAGTCAAAATAGGCCATGTTTGCAATGTGAACATATTGTTAAAACAAATGAACGGTTTTTTAACATGCAATAGCAATCTAACGTTGCATTGTTGTGATCAAACAAAACACTTGTCATGTTACAGTCCGTTTGTTTACTCTGTTATTGTTTTCATATGTTACTTGCCTAGGATCAGTATGCGCATTTCCCTTGAGCCCAGTAAACCACGGAAATAGCTGAACAATCCACCTGGAATACACAAAAAAAAAAAATACAAATAAATCGATTTTCTTCGCCGATAAAATTGACAAGTGTAGTGGACAAATGTGACGTGGATAAAACGGACGATGCGATCCATATTGAGCTACATGGAATTCCACAACAAAAAGAAGAACACTCGACAAGATTCGATACCTCAATCTAACACTCTTTGCAATATTTTCTAATGTTGACTCACCCATCTTTTTGTGTTTTATGCCGTATGATTAACGTGAAAATGCTACAAAAACAATCACTTGCAATTGATGTAAAAATTGTGTTTTGCTTGTTTGTCAAAGTGCAGGCAAATAGTTGGAACGCCGACCTTAGTAAATCGCTCAGAAAGACACCAGGTATTTTGCCCTATAAAATTGTGTAAATTATATCTGCACTTTTAATTGTGTGCTCTGTGTATGCGAAGTTTTGACAACACACGTCAACTTGTTGTTGTCACAAATGAGAGTGTCACATCACCGCTTCTGCAGGGTCATATCAAATATGCTTTGTTTACACGCGGTTCGTTGCCGATGTGGACGCAGTACGAGGCAACCCTGTGCGCCGCATCGCAATCGATAATGTAAACGAACACTTTTCTGTCACAACAATTCATTTTTTTAAAATTAAAAAGAAAATTAGACTATTCTCGATAAAATTCTTGCAAAAATATTATTTTATTTCGATTTTCTTAAAATCTTAATTTTATTTTGAGATTTGAATCAATTTTGCATACTATTTTCAGGTTTTTCTTTTTCTCTTTTTTTCATTCTATGCCATAGACTCACAGTTGAAATTTGAAGAAAAAAACTAGTCGAATTGATAATTTTTTTAACAAAAATAAAATTTGTAAACAAATGTCTGCCTTTGAATTCGGCGTTAGACTGTGAACTGTGTGAACTACCAAGCAGACGGTTAAGTTGAAAGTAGTTCAGATTAGGCAGACAATCTATGATAGACTTTTGTCGCTAGCCAAAGGTCAATCAATCGTTACGATGAGTGTGCAAGTGAAAATATATTCGAAATGATTAAATGGCCGTTGGCAACCGTTGTTCTCACAATAATCCAATAAAAGAGCAAAATGATTTTTGATGTTGTTTGCCATCGATTTTGAATATTTAAAGCAGCACATTGATTCGTTACATTTTCGAAATTGGCAATGCGTTCGTCAATGTGATTGAGTGAATCGTTATTTTAATGGTTTTTTTCATCATCTTCTTCTTCTTTGTATTTTCATTTTTGTTGTTATCAATGCTCTTCTTTTTTGCAGCAGGCGACTTTATTTTTCCATTTAATTCTTCTTCAATTATCAGCGTGAATTTTATTAATGGAATTTAATGGCGTTCACAAGCGAGCAAACTCATGTGAAACATCAAAAGTTGAAATGAAACAAAAATCACGTACCGAGAGAACAAAATATTTTTCGTATAGATGATTTATTATTGAATCGTAGATCGCGTTTTTGTTGTATCACAAAAGCAGAGAGTCTTTCTGGAAGATTTTGCATTGGGCACATCGAAAGAAAACCGTTTTTGTGTGCCGTCCGAAAAAATTGATTATTACGAGCAACAGATATACATAGTAATATGTATATATAACAAAAATGATTAATATTAAAGTTGAGTTCAATTTTTACCAAAATGACCTAACATTCGTTGAATGTGATCCGTGCTGTGCGGTTGATTTCCACAAAATCAGCTTTTTGTCTAATATTTGTACAAAGAATCAGTCTGTGCAGTGAGATTTCCCGTTTTTTTTTTCTTCTTTTTTTTTTTGCTCTTCAAGTCATAGCGGCTCCAAGATGAGCCAGTAAAAAATCGCGACACTAGTGATATTGCTTAAGCAAGGATTGAATTCTATTGTCTGTCAGATTTTCAACGAAAACAAACCAAATAAAAATAAATAGACGCAATTGTAAAACTAAATATAGAGTCGCACAAAAAAGTCAGTTGTCATAATTAAGATAATTTTGTAAAAAAAAAATATAAATTGAGGCAAGGAAATAAATGAAAAAAGTTACGCAAATGTCCAAACAAGTTCAAGGTGACGAGATTAACGATAAAGTTCCAATTGGAAATATGGGTAAGAATTTGATAGAATGACGTTCTTTTGTCTATGGTTTCGAAAACCCGCTCCAAATTTGATTATCTACATTGATTTGCATTGTGAACGGTTGTTATTTGGATTTAATTTGACCATATCATCATACGATGATTGTAAGTCAGTTTGTAATTACTCATTGTTCAAGACCAAGTAAATTGTACCGAGTCGAAATAGCGAAAACTTTGAAATTATCGAAGAAGACCGTGTATTACACAGTTTAATTACAGTAAAATTGATCAAAATCGGTCTACTTGGTAATGCGTGACAAGAAAAAAACTGGTTGAAAAACTCATGCGAAAACCGTTTCCTTAAATGTTCGGTCGGTCGGTGTGATGATCAGAATGAGAATGAATGATGAGTGTGATAAGGCTTGTTTCGACTAATAAACACAACAGCTTTAGCTTTGCATGAACAATCTCGTTTTTTTTTTTTTACTGTCGTCATTTTGTTTAAAAAATGCTTACAATGACAGATAACAATTTTTTCGGTCAAATTATTGTACTTTGACCCGTGCACGGCGTTTAGACAAAGCATGGGCTGGTTGGGACGATCGTGTAATTTTCACGATGTGAAATCGAAAGCGCAACTATTGGTTGACAAATGAAGCGAAATAGCCACAAACATAATATTCATTGATATTCATGTCGAGGGTATTTTTAAAACACTGCCAATGCTGATTGTTAAAAACGGCGCAATTCTATTTTAAATTTTTATTACATATATATATATATATATTGATCGTCTCGTTGGCCAAATTTTGTAAATGTTGTTATTGTATTTCTCGGTCGTACTTCAATGCCATTGCAACGGGTTTTGATGGAATTTTCATGTCTTCATCACATGTCCTCTCTATGTATACGTGTGTATGTGCATGCCAGTTGCTGATAGTGAATAAAATTCAACACGCAGTCAGTTGACCTTGAAAAAGTAATGAAAATGAAATGGTTTGCGCGATGGTGAGTGGCAGCAAAGATAATTGCGAAACAATCAACACAATAAAAAAAAAATGAGCGAATAAGAACAAAACAACATTTATATATTATATTTTTTCGTTGATCGTTTTCTATTTTGTGCATATATGAACCAATTTCAATGTACCAATGGTCAAATTTTTCCTCACGTGAAAGTGGACGATGTAATTTTACATGCAAAAAAAGACGGCTTGTATTTCGAATATGTGTATCAAAATGGATCTTGCATCATCTTATAAACATCAATTTTGTTAGCTTGTTATCTGAACGCACACCAATACGGTCGTCGCAGGCAATACATAAATACGACGGCACAGAAGAAACGAGAAAAAAAAGCGTCGTGCTCGACTGTCTCGGTCTGAAGTGCATCGATAGCGATACGCATACATGTGCTCAGCATCTTCGCACTCTGCTGCTGTCTTTTGCTCTCTTCGTTCGTTTCATGTTGTTTTTGTTGTTGTTTTCCATTCGGGCAGTGCGGCGCACATTTATATGTTTCCACACACAGGCCGATATAATTCCGACTTACAGCACTTGCTTCGCCGTACATTTAGAACATTTCGTGTTGTGAACGTGAATGGTTTAAACGTAGAATGGACGACAGCCCGTATCAGTAGTTAAAAAGCCATTTTTTGAATAATAATTTTTGCTTCGACTTGTTGTTATTCGCAATTGCCGTCGCCTTTTGATAATCAATTCTATTCAATTTTGTTTTGAATTATTTTTCGTCGCCTCTCGAGGCACTGAAGAAAAGTAAAGTGATTGATTTGGATTATTTTTTTTTTTGTATGTATCTACAAGCAAAAATGAGTGGAAAATTACAGTCGAAGAATCACGGTTGGTGCAATTTTTTTTTCTTTAGTTTTAAGTTTTAAAGTAGAACATTTCTGTGAATTTAATTTGTAGCACTGCTTTTCAGTGCTATTTTTTTGTTTTTGTGTACGTGTTTTAAGATTATTTCGAAGCGTCGCATACACATTAGATGCATGCATCTATATATGTCTGTCTTTGTTGTTTGGGTGCATTCCGAATGTTCTTAGTTTTTCAATTCCTTTCTATTCTATTCTTCTTTCATCTGCTGCATGGATATGTTGAATGGATTTCTTTTTGGAATGATTCGTTCATTGTGGTTATGACTTTTCTATTTTAGTTAACTCGAACGACCATTTCTCGGGTTTACCACGAATGGAGGCACTCGTGCGAATTGCCAACATCCCACTCATTGAAACTGGAGTCAAAACCGCTGGCAAGGTTTACTATAATCTAAAAGTGAGTTTTATGACAAATGATTCGTTGACTCATTCATGGTTATCTCTATTCTTGATTTAATTGAATATTTCTTTACCTAATGAAAATGTTTTCTCTTAGCAACGCAATGGATTATTTACATGGAGCTTCAATACAGCCGAAGGTGTTATTTTCGCAGCTGTCGAAACTGTTCGGCCAGCTGTGAAAATCATTGAAGGCCCATTGCATCGTATCGATCAAATTTTATGCAACAGTTTGGATATCGTGGAACAACGTGTACCATCCATCTATTTGCCACCACAAATGGTTAGTTTCAAATGACGATTGGAATTCATATAGAGAGATAATTGTCGAGAAGAAACGTGAATTTCATTTGTTTTTGAATGATTAGCTCGTTTGTAGATTTAATTTAGTTAGTCTATTTTTTACAAGTTTCTTGCGTTTTTTTGTTGTTGAAGAATATCATAAGAAGAAAATTGAACCGGTTAAGAGATGACAAGAGAGTTTGAATATTAGTGTACAAAATGTCCGATTTGTGACGTTCACTTGTCCAATAATAAATCACCGTTTTATTTTTTTCTCTCTCTCTCTCTCCCTCTCCATTTCAGATTTTAAACAATACCAAAGAATATATGACTGATCACTTGGTAATAGAATTTTTAAGAGAAAATCCACTTCGGTCATGTGCTAAAAAATTGAGATCTTTTCCAAAGGTACAGCCAGTGCTAAAACGTGCCGGTTCTGTAAAGCAGCTCGGTTCATCTGTACTCGACAGTCCGTTGTCAGCATACGCCGCCGATCGCATTGATGGCGCCATTAATGTGGCTGATAAATACGTTGAAAAATATCTACCATCCGAGGATCATGTTGACTGTAAGTGTTGGAAAAATTTATTCAAAAAACAACAAGAAATGGTTTCGTACACGTTTGTTGTGTTCGGTCATCGAGAGGATGACATTATATTAGTAGCTACTTAGAGATAACGGCCACGAATGACTTCATCGTAAAATTTTGAATTCCAATACACGAGAAAAGAACGAAAGATTCATTTAGAAAGTTTCAAAGGTTATAATCATAGGGTTATCGGTACATATGACTTTTTTTCAAACGCAATCGCACCGAAATGAGTTTTATTTTTTGTTCACTAATTGAGTACATCGGCCGAAGTGCACTACTTTCATTTGCTTGATTATTATTTTTGGGGAAAAAGCATTTTGTCTAATATGGTTTTGGTTGTTTGGTTTTTTCCTCTGTTTAATTAGCTGCTATAAGTGAGGATGATAATGAAAGCAAAGCAATTCATACATTCCACAAGAGTCAAAGATTCTCCCGAAAATTGAAGCGGCGTTTGACACAGCGCACCATTCTCGAGGCTCGTGCATTGAAGAAACAGAGCAAAGAAGCCATCCATATTCTGATTTATGCCGCTGAATTGGTATTTCAGATTGAGATGTAATCTATTAAGTTCGTTAATTGCTAATTTGACCGTTTATTCCATTTTCGATGCAAAGATTGCAACTGATCCAAAATTGGCTCTGCAGAAGGCTCGCGAGCTATGGTCACACCTAAGCAAAGATGAACCGGAGAATCAGGCCCGACCACAAACGATTGAAGAATTGATTGTATTGATCACGAGAGAATCAGCACGTCGTATGGTGCATTTGGTCAACTACACTGGATCTACCGCAACAAAACTCCCAAAGTAAACAACAAATTTTCTCTCGTCACCTTGTTTTCGTCTATCATTTCCAATTAATCCTTTTTTTTCTCATCTCTCCACATTCTAGCACTGTACGCGATCTTCTACATCAATTTCTCTACGCTGCTGACTCACTGATAAGAACTGCACACTTGGACAAAGCCAAATCGACTGCTGTAACCGAGGCTTACGGAATAATCACGAAAATGTCAGTGCTATACAATTTTTTGCAAACGTACACGTCAAGTGCATTGGTAAGTGCTGAACTCAGTTCAGTGAACTGTGATTTTGACACTGAAGCCGAATGTCACATTGTCGCATGAAAATGACGTGTCTTTTTCCACTCTCTCTTCTACGGTTCTTTGAAGGAACGTTTGGCGTACATTTTGGCTGGACGAATGAAAAGCAATGGAACGCCACGTGCCAATGCTAAAAAGGGCGCTAAACATCGTCATTATGTGGGCAATTCAACACGTCCCAACAACAATCCTCCAGTAAACAATCTCAATGGAGCCTACTGAATATACGTCATTTCACTGATATTCTTTTTTATTCTCTTCATTTTTAGAAAATAAGTGTAATAAGTCTAACGAAATTTATGAACATAAAATGCTTTATGTATGCGTAGGATTTGTCCGAAAATTTGTATAAGCCAAAATTCATACATGTTTACTTTTTGTTTGATATTGTCAAATATGATGGTGAATAGTTGAAATAATGAGCTAACCGATTGTTTCAAAAAGTGAAAGAGAGAACAAATACTAATAAACATTTTGAGACGACGTTATTTGGCATTCACTCCGATGACAACACTAGCACAATGCAATGCAATGTTATGAAAAGCAAAATTATTTCCTAATTTTCGATTCGATTCAGTTTCCCCCCGGTGAAAGAGTTAGAAAAGCGTTGGTTACGTAGAGACACGGTATAGTAGGATCAAGTACAAAGTATGGGTGCATCATTGTTTCGATTAAATGACATTTTCTAATGGTTTTTGGGAATAGCAAATTTTTAACATGAAACTATTGGAAACTAGATTTTAGGCATCATTTTCGTACTGACTCCCGTTTTCTTTTATAAATATCAGTTTTGTAATCACACAAATTGTTTCATTAAAATTAATCAAAAAAAAATAACAACACAATGGCGTTTAAATTAACGTTTTGTTCTTTTTCTATACATTTTCCAAGTTGATGTGACAAAATAGTTGACATCGAAGGATCAAAATTCGTTGATGGATACATACGGAATCATTATTCGCCAGAATTACTATATTCCAAAAGAACAATAAACTTGAACAAATGTTGAATATTTAATTGCATGAAAATTAGTGGCTAAACAACGATTTTATGTGTATTTACTGCAATACACACTCAACACAATCAACAGATTTTGTTGCGGTTTCGATGTTTGAATTCAAGTGTATGATGAACATAAAAATGTTTCTATGAACTTGATTTTTAATATCGTCGAAAAATTGAGCCAAATTTGCGCTCACTGTGCAAGATCCACGTTGTTTATCAAACTTACCAAGGTGGATCTCTGCTAGCAATGAAAACCTTGTACAGTGAACGTGTTGAAGTAACGCTTCAGGCGCCTGAGTCTGCAAATTTAGCTCAGCTCAGGCCTGTTCAGCAGAAATTATGCACTCTCTGAAATTGAAGGATTTTTTTCGCTACTATTGTTGAAAAAAACGAAGGTAATAATTTCAATAATTTCGTTTATTTATCCTATTTAAAAGAAGCTTAAAGCGATCTGAAAAGCACTAGCGTTAAAATATATTTATAAAATTTGTCAAAGACTGAAACAAATTTGTTTTTGAATTCTGGCCACAGTCATTGCCTGGCACATATTAAAAATGAAATTCACGAGGACTCCGCTTTGTTTTTATAATTGCGATTTGATCGCGTTGAGTTGGTTAGCTTTTCACTTTCCTGTAAAATCACAATAAACCTGAACCGGCAAGGGAAAAAAGTCTTACAATGAATCAATCACACTAGTATCTCAACGTATACAATTTAACTCTTTTGTTCAAACACACAATTTTGTTATTAATTATAAAAATAAACAGCAATTCGATAAAATGTCAAAACTTAAAACTTAAAACAAAAATCCATAAATGAGCTGTGTCGAGATGAACGTTAACATCGATATTGAAATAATTTATAAATTCTGCTTTGGTTCCATTTTATACTCCACTGGATTGCCCAATTCAACGTCAGAGCAATTGTCCGAGTTTGACAACGCTGAATCCATTGAATTCACAGTGTTTTGGTTATTCTTTTCACTTTTTTCGTCTTTTTCATTTTCATTCTGAAGAAGTGGCACTTCTTGAGGTTGCAACGGCGGCTTTTCAGTCGATGCGGTGGTTGGATTCGCTTGGTTTGATGTCAAATTACCACTATTCACATCCTCAATGGCTTTGCGAAGCTATGGACACAAGAAGAATGAATTAATTTTATTAGCTCATAAGGAGAAATACTTTCAAAAAACAATACTGAAATCATTCAATTCCAAATTCGAATGTCCAACTCACCTCTTTCAGTGCGACCACTCCGACGAGTTTTCCGATTTTGGTCACGTATGCATGATTGATGCCTATCATTGAAAATAAACTGTGTACTTTTAAAATAGATGTTCGTTCCACCAATTGGAATGGAGACGGATCAATTTTCACTTTGGCACCTTCCAAATCAATTGGTTTGGCCATTTCTTCAGCTTCCCATATCTTTTGATCCTCCGGTGACATGTCGATGACGCGTTCTCGTGGCTGCAAGTGAATAAAATCGATTAAAACGTCAATCATTTGAATCGAACATGGGATAAACCTACCAATTGAACTTTCTTCGAAACATTCGGGCTAAATGAAATAGTATCGATTGGGATGGGAGTGCTGCTGGTTGGTGTTGAAATGCCCGATGGCGGCTGTTCTGTGTGGTTTGTGTCATTTTCAGTGTTTGTTTCATCAGGATGAACGTCCTGCAAAGTGGCCGATTTTTTGAATATAATATCAAATGCTGACCGTAGCCTGCTTTCAGCAGCAGTTATCGTTGAATATGGTGTATGGGATGGGCTCGACGATAAAACCGGTGTAAAACCTCTTAAATTGAATGAATTTGTCTTTTTCAAAATCGATTTGCGTGGAAATGATCCAAGATTTGGATTGTGTAGGGTTTCTTTGGCTTTTTTCGCCTGCGGCGGTAACATTTCATTGTTGGCCAACTCACGTAATTTGGACACATCTGGCGCTGGCACTACTTCAAATCGAGATGATCGACGACTTTTATTTCGCTCCTCAAATTCTTTTTGCCGCTTTTCATACTCTTCGCGTGCTCGATCTTCAGCTTCCTTCTGCCATTTGGCCGCCACTTCCAAACGCTTCTCACGACCGATGTGTTTGTCGATCATTTTGATCAGTTCGTGTCTCTGCACTGATCCCAACAAAATCATATTGTCGGGCGAATCAACCAATGGTAAACTTCGCAAATGCTTATTCTTCTTTAGAACATTCTTCAGTGATTGATAGCTAATTGTTTGCCAAATGAATTTCACATCGCGCACCATGAAGTCTTCTACGAAAGTGTTGTACATTCCACTGGCCGATGGCAACAAATCGGGAAGGTATGGCAATTTCTTAATCAAAATGATACTATCGTAAATGGATGGCTGTAGCAATGCAGCAGTTGCGTTGGCGATGAGAACGGCTATCATGACTGGCACTAAATGGGTTATTTGACCTGTCATTTCAAATGCAATAATACCCGTAGACGCTGTATGCGTTACAGCACCGGAAAATGCAGCCGCTCCAACCACAGCATATCCACCTGAATGGGAATGTGATATGGATGAAAATACTCACAATTGAACACAATGAATTTGAGTTGAAAATCAGACAAAGAAAAGAATCAAAACCGTTTCAATTACCTGGTATAATTTGTGAGATGTGGCCACCGTATCGAATGCCCAACGGAAAGTATAAATGTAATGATTCACCAACCATTCGACCCAGAGATGCTCCAATTTTGAATACTGGAATGAACATTCCACTGGGAACTGGTATAGTTGATCCAATAATCGAAAAAACAAACTGGAAAACCCGAATTTTTGCCATCAGCATCTTCAAATTTAGTGTGAAAAACGGTGTTTGTGTCAAATATTTACCGTAAAAAGTAAATAAGAGGACAGATGAAAGAAAATGTCTGTGTATTCGGTGCTCCAATGATTCACGATGGTTGCTTGTTCGACTGTCAGTTCATCAGCTGTCCATGTGAAATTCGTGAACAATTCATGCACTTGCTCATGTGTGCTCAACTCTCCCGCAATGAATCGGCCCGTTCCCAAAGGATACGAAATCGATGATACAATCAGAGCCACAATGCCAGGGTACAAAAAGCGACTGAAAATTAGAGAGAATGTGTATTTAATTTTCGTTTTACTTTGATTGAAACGGGGAGTCGACGTACTTTTTCTGCAAAAACAAGTTCATTTTCTTGTTGGATCGCATGAACATGACGTATTGTCGATGAACCCAAACGTAAAATGCAGCCAAACATCCGCAGACAAATCTAAAAAGGGGAAATAGTCAAAAATGTTGAGTAATGAGGCAAATTTATAATTGAAATTATTTATTCGAGCCAATCAGTTTATTCAAAATTATTCAATTTTTGAAAATTAGGAGACAAACTGAAAAAAAAAAATGTTCAATTCCAAATATCTTACCCCATGAGCGCGAACACAAACAGTTCTTGTGGATCAAATGGAAATTCGGATGCAAAATCGGTGGCAAACACAGCTGTAACAGTTTCCGCTTTCTGAAACCAAACGGCCAACAGACGAAATACCGTTGCACCACAAACAGCGGCAAAAAAGCCACGCCAATAATTACGAACCGCAAAATAGGTCGTTGTTACCTCAATGCTAAACAGTACTCCTTCAAAACAAAGCGCATTACCAAAGGTAATGTGAGTAAATTGTCATATTTACGACTTGAACTTGGCATGACTTACCTCCAACGGGTGCGGCGAAACATGATCCAACACCGACTGCACATGCAGCGGCCAACATTTCACAGTGCCGTGATTCATTCTCGTAGATCGCTTGAAACGATGTCACCATTTTGCTCAGCAGCTGGGCAACTATACTAGCTATGTGTACGAATGGACCCTGAAATTATAGACGTGTTTATTCGCACATCGTTATCGAATCTTGATTCTTGATTTGTGCAAATTAAAAATGGTCACGTTTTCATTTTTTTTTTCCCACGTGAGTGCAAACTATGAACGTATAAATCATTCATTGAATATGACCGTCGAAAAGTGTGAGTTGAGTTTTGAGATATTGATCACGTACTTCTTTTCCAAGTGGCATTCCACTTCCTAAAGTTGCGGTCAAACCAATCACTTTGGCTACCAACGTCTTGAATGTTAGATACTCTTTCAATGTCACTCCTCTGAGAATGGTTTTCATTTCGGGAATTCCCGAGCCAATGCTCTGCGGTGCGATGAGATGCACAAATCCAGCCGAGAACAGAATCAAACACACCGGCAACGATACCCATGCAAAGTATTGTACGTATGGCTGCGACGTTAGATCCCTGTATAACCAGATTCTGGCTATAAGAAAGAAACAGAAGAAGAGCATATGAATAAATAAACATGAACTGATAAAACTATAATCCACTTAATGTTTGATCTTTTCACTTTGATAGGAACCGGTTAACCAATAAAAATGGCTGATTCATTGTTATTTATTGATGGTATCAAAATTGGATCAATAACGGTAAATGGTTGTTCAGGAAATTTTGCGTTTAAATTTGGTTGACCGAAAAACAAAGTAGTGACTCACCATTTGTGCACATTGAAATACCTTTATCCATAATGTAGGATAAAAGTGCCATAATAATTCCTAATAAAGCCAAATACACCCAATCCTCGCCCAATCGTGCGAACGAATTCTTCCAGAGATAGAGCAACAGCCTGACAAAACGACTTGATCGTTTTCCATACAGTTCCTATGGACAATGGGAAATCGAAATTAGTGTTGCTTCGAGATCCAGATGATAAATTATCACATTTTGTTGATATACAGCTACTTACTCTATTCCTGGCTTTATCCTCCATCTTTCGGCGGCGCTCAAGCATTTTAAGTTTTCTCGCTTCATTTTTGGCATATTCTCCCAGATCCTTCGAGTACCGGCCGTACATCTACAAACACAGACCAATGAGTTAATTTTAGAAAACCATAAGAAGAAATTTGATTTTCAAGGCAAATCAACATGCTACCCATCAGCAAATCAAAGTAATGCTAAATCAACATTCAGAGGAGAAATAAAACACATGCTCTTTTGCATGCTCTTGAAACGATTAAGTTCAAAAAGTTAGAAGTAGAAACCGCAAAGTCATCATTAAAAAAACACATGAAAATTGTTTTGATAAAAATAATTAATCAATTACACAAAATTTCAGAAAAGCAAATATGTGAATTCAAATGAAATCTTTAAAAACACCCATTCGACTTTAGTTGCGATTTTTTCGTTGCATTATTTTCGATTAAAATTCTCAATATGACGATTAAGCTAAAAATTTGCGTATTCACACGGTTTTGAACTTACAGAATTCCGATCATTTTCGTTGATAATTTCGACTGTGTCGTTATAGGTGAACGAATTTGTGTGTGGTGGCATTGAAATGTGATCGTCGTCGATTCCGTGCGATAGTTGCGTTTTATCGCTGCCAAACCAACCGAATTGTTTGTTTTGTCGGATATTATTCGAAAACATTCGTGCGCCTTGAATTTACACTTGAAATTTTCCTGAAACGTGTGTTTTCACTCTTGATTCGTTGTCGGCGCGCGCACGCTGTCTCTATGTCTCGTTGTTCTATTTTCGACTAACTTAGAGATATTTGCGATTTGTTCTTTGTTATTCCGAAATTTGAATAAAGTCGAGTGAATAATTGGCAAACCAGACGTAAAATGAAAATTGTCCGTAATGATTTATTTTTGTGTTGTGTTTAATTTGGATTCCGACAAAACAATGCTTTCAGTCAGTTTGTATCATTTTTTTTCCTCGTACTTGAGCCGTGCCAAAAATGTTGGCATTTGGGTGTATTTGTCCTTATTGATCACAAAATTTTTCACACACACTCAACAAAATTTTCCACGGAAACCGTATTTTTCACTGTTCTTTGTCTTAATTATACACATTGCTAACTTTGATATGATATGCATGTCTTTCGGATTCATCTACACTACAATTTCTCTCTCACGAAACTAATTAAAACGTTCTTTTCTATATTTGTTGCCGATGGATAGACACACGGACGTAATTGGATTAAGATTATAATGGATCACTGCGCTCTTTTGCCATTAATTGAAGAAAGTACATGGTTATCGACACACTTGTTCACAGTAAAAAAGAAATTAAACTATGTCCTTTGAATGAATCGTCTCAGAAGATCAAAAAACAATTCGTTTGACCCAATTTTTGTGCGATATTGTGTCGGTACGAATCGATTATTTGCTTGTTATAAAAATATCAAGCACAACGTGAAAACGAGAGTGAATAACAAAAATGTCGCAAAGTCTTAGCGCGTGAACGGTTCGATTTACACTGTACGCCCCACGGTTAGCAAACGTGAACGAAATTCTGCGAAGAAAAATACGATCGCTCGTCCGTTTTATACGTTGGTAAAATACAGACTCACGAATCAGGCTCATTTACTATTCAGAGCTTAACAATCTGTTTGCGAGCGCGCGGCTTTTGCGCTCTTCTGTATTCTGCCGTGGGTGTGTGTGTGTGTGTGTGTCGTCATTTGTTTTTCATTACGACAAAATCATATATATGAAACAAGTTTACTCAGCTCATTTTTATATGTGAGAATATTGATTAATACAATAATAAATGTATAATAATCCCGGTCAATATCTTCCAATTTCTTGTATTTACAAGCAACGGCAGTGGCGGCGGCTTTGTCTGTTGTGTTTCGTATTATTATTTTGCTTCTGTGTGATACAAGACATTAATCTAATCACAAATATTGAAATTTTGCGCGCGCGTTTCATTTACACTGAATAATTTTAATTTGAGCTGTTTAAATAGCATGTGTATGGCTCAAGATGAACTATTTGAACAAGTTGTGTTTTTCAAACGTGCTTATCCTCCCTTTACAACCGAATTTTGGCAATAGATATCGACAAAGTCGGGCAAAAAGAAATGGGAAATGGAAAAAAATTCCGCGTCACCAACAAATATTTAAAAAAATATAGTTATCACAAATTTCAGCTCACAATCGTTTGTATGTAGGTACAGAAGCAAAATTTGTCATGTGACCAGAAGATCTGGGATAAAAGCTTTATTTTTAATTACATCATTCATTAATCTTACACGAAATCTTCGGCAATTAGTAGTTTGGAAAGCAACATTCTTGTAGTGTGTGAACACACACAACGCTTATATCAATATTTAGACTGAGAAAAGGATTTATCCATACATTGATACGTCATAGAATACAAATTACATGAGTTTGCGCATAAAACAATTGAAAACAATTACGCTGCACATATTTGCACCAATTTTATTGGTAAAAACATGTTTATGACCATCCCTTGCTTCATAAATCATCGGTCGGGGTATCAAAACTTTTTCGCTTCAAGTTCAGCACGCATCGAACGTTCACTTAGTGACAATGTATAGACACTATTAAAAAATCTTTTTTTGATGTGTTTTAATTTCTCCCATTCGAAAAAAATCTATAAATAACCTCGTGCTAATAAAGTGATGTGTATGAAACATCTACCTGCACAATTCATCATAACACAGTGACACAAGTCGTTTTTTGAACCGGTCATATGAAATGGATTTGCATAAGCATCACATGCTTGATAAGATGGTGATCTATGACCGCAAATTCTGAAATAATTACTACACACATGTACAGTTGATTTTTATTCTCTTTAGACAACTGATTAGTATGTCACGTGAGGTACTCATCGTTCCAAATTAAAAAAAAAACATTGGTTTGTTTACTACAAAATGGCTCAACAACAACAACTTCACTTTTTTTCTACCACTGATCCAAATCTTACACACTCTATGATGATAACTGCTGCGGTGATCACTTTTCCATTGCCTGATTGACCTCGAATTGTTTTCCTTTCACAAAATGAAAACAAACATAAAAAAAAAATCGAACGGTTCAAAGGAAAACGGAAAAGTTTAGAACGAAAAAAATTGCAAAATTTTAAGCAAATCGATTGAAATGGCTAAGTAACGATTTTTCAAGTGATTTGATTGTTATCTTTGTAGTTGAACATAGGACTCACTCTAGAGTAAGCAGTAAAAAGTCTCAAAATAGTAGAAAACAGTGTCTGTAAACAGTAGACGTATTCGACTTTATCTAAAAATGACAAAGAGAATACAAATCGAATAAATAAATCATAATGATCATATGATCAAAGAACATATAATTTTCTGTTGAAATGTGGATACTCGTTGTCTAGGTGCACGAACTTATAAAGTGTTCACGCTACGTGCAAATGAAGCGAAAGTCCTTCTTCTTTTTCTACTTTTTCTTCTTTTGAAGCAAAGAAAATGTCAACAACGCACATACGGATCGCCGAATAAATAACAACGGATTGATCTGGAATTTCCTACATTTGCTTTGTTCCATTTTCATTTTCTTCATTCGACCGATATATGCTTACTGCGTTCGAAGCGTAACTTAGCAAGTGTTTATATTTTACGAGTAGGTCTTACTATCATCGGAAAATAATAATCAAAACGAAATGCTGATAATAAACATTTGAACATTCATTAACAGTCAATTACCTTTGCATATTAGCATACCTTTGTAGGTCGATTTTTTACGCGTAAACGTGTGCAACTGTTTTTTTTTTTCGAACGCGCAAATCTCATTACATTTTTTTCAACAAAAATTGTGCGCATACTAATTGAATATAATTTGTCAATTTTTTTGTTGTTATTCTCGTTTGAACGATGCAACGAGAAAAAACAGTTTAATCTATTTATGTTCTTTTTAACACCTAGCTCACATGATTGTATGTGGCGAATTTGAGGTAATGGAGTGCAAACGGTAACCGCAGCAATTTTGTAGGAGGAAATAACAATAATGTAATGCATGCAAGAGAAAAGTGCACGAATTTTCAAATGTGAACCAAATTAAGAGAAAATGGTGATCAAAGTAAATCGAAAAATGTATTGAATGTGCAGAAAGAGTATGCATGCAACAATTAATAATAATGAAGACAGAAAAAGCCACAATTGACATGCTGTGCTTACAGCATTGTAATCGACGAATTCATCGTCGGAATCGGAGTCATCAAATGCATCGGATGCGGTCGGTGGCGGGCATGGATAAAATGTATGCTGAGTGCGAACGCGACGCGATTTTTTCACTCGATTGTGTTGATTCAGCCCATTTTTGATGGCATTCTGTTTGCGCCGTTCGCGAAACTCTCTGCAAATTCAGCGAAACGAAACATGTTTATATCGGGGTGTATAACGGGCATATAGTAAGCAAAATTTGTTCAACATCGACCCAAAAAACAACAAATCGCACAAGGTGCTAATTACAATAACATGCTCTCTAAATTCTTAACAAATAAAAGCAAAAAAAAAAACATCAAAGGTATTCATTCGATTGTCTATTTGTCGAACGATTTAGCACAGAATCGAATTAACTGGTTGTCGGTGAACTTGAAAACACAAAAAATGACGGCTATCAAGGAAAGAAACATCGTTCAATAATAACAATACCTGAGAGCTCGCTCAAAATCCGCCCATTCCGAGTCAACCAATTCAACATTTTCTTCACCATCATGGATGACGAGATCACTTTTACCCACTTCCGCCACACGCTGGCCACTACTATTACCATCGCCCGCAGATGATTGCTTCGCATTTTTCTCCATTTTTTCTAGTTATTACTCAATTAAGTCACTCTCTCGATTCAACTATTGGTTATTATTGATTGGTTTATTTGTTGTTCAGTTTCGCACATACACTTTTCGATCACACGATTGACATCACAAAATGGTTTTGCATTTGCAACTGATTGACGACAATGGTTGTTTGAATTTTCAATTTTCCGTTGGAGATTTCTCGAGTGTGCGTTTGACACGCCACTTAAGAGAGTGGGTTCGTGTTTCTTCTTTTCTATCCGTTGCTCTCCGTTTATTCAATTATGTACCTATTCATTTTGTTCACACAAAGTCATTTGAATCAATTTATTATTTGCAAACACATGATTCGCGCGTGCGCTCTCACTCACATAAATAATTTCGAAACTGGATTATTTTTTTTCTCGATGAATTCGAATCAAACTGAAATAGATTTCCTTAAATAACATTGAAAAGAATGTTAAGAAGGTCTTTTATTGGAGATTTTTTTGCCTGATTTTTTTAATGCTCAATTTCAAGATATTCCGCCTCATTTCAGAACGAAAAAACGAGTCACGTGAAAACATTATTCAAAATGCGGGCGTTGCAAGTAGGAAATAATTATCAAAAAAGATATCTCACCACACACACTTGGAGAGGCGAAGCAAGAGAGAGAGAGAGAGAGAGAGAGGCCTGAATGAAACACGAATATGCCAATTCTTAGCGCAATTATGTTGTCATTCAAATGAATTCATACGAAATCAAAACGGCTGCATTCATTGAGCATTCTCATCTTCCGGATGATGATGCCTCGCAAGCAATTAGAGTATAATGTGAATTTAGAGAAATTCAGAAGTCGTGAACTGAATGAAATTCCAAGCGGTGAATGAATTCGAGTGGTCTGATTCATTTCACAAGTCACTGGCATCAGATTGACATATATATTGTGTCTTTGCAACAGTTAATCGCCTCTTTACGATGTTAAAAACTAGTTTCATTAACCGAAACTCATCCCACGACACGTTGAAGTTGAACTCTGGCATTTTTTCCCCATTTTATCATTGAAAGAATTTCCAACTAATTATGCATTATCATAGGATTATCGCGCTAGACAGTCGTGCCGGATGATTAATAAGCAGTGCATGCAACAAATGATGAACATTTACACATACACACACAACGAAATCACTTTTGCCCCAAGGCACACACATGTGTGTGCGCTTAATTCGCATTTGTGTGATTACTAATAATATTCCTCTCTCTCTCTCTCTCTTTGTATTCGTTTCTGCCACACTGTTTACTTGACCGCTAATAAAACGGATGTTGTTAGGACTGTTGAAAATTGGCTTGGAGGCGAGAGAGAATCAAATTACATTCGAAAGTCATGTGACATTCTATTGAAATGCTTGTGAATATAGGCGATATGTGGCCATAAAATGGCTTTTCATGAAACACACTCGAATGTGAATCAATCATACGTATGAGGCCCGAATCGGCGCAAACGATCAACTGAATAGTCGACGCAAATGTCTTTCTATTGCAAGCAAAGTATATGAAAATGTCTCAATTTGTTTGTTGTGAAGATTGTCGAAAATTGCCCTTTATTATTATTATTCACGTAAACACTTGTGGCGCGGTTTCTTTTTATTGAAGCTTTTCTCATATTCGTTTTCTCTCTCTCTCTCCCTATATCTTTCAGTCTTAACTCTCTCCCTCTAGAAGCCTGCTCGACAAAAACGAACAGATAGAACGGTTGAGTAACCCGTTTATTAAATGATTGCGCCGTGGATTGCACATTCATGTTCATATCGCAGCAGAAGATGAGATGCAATTGACTTTACATTTGATTATCGGTCAACTTGTAAATGGCTTTCTCATTGACCGTTCTAAGACACAATGAGAAAAAAAAGCAGAATTTTGTACCAAAGTCGACTATCGGAATTGTACACTTTGTTAATAATTTCTCCTAATTCTCAATGTGTCAGCATTTGCACATGGGATTTTTATTTGATCCACGACACTTTTCACACATTCATTTAATTAGTTCTAATGCCATTAAAGTGATAAACGGATGAGAAGCACTACATTTCTGATACCCAATTACAAACGCATTATCACTGCGCGTTCCGGCGTTCAATCCATTCACTTCTTTGCCGATTCTCGACTTAAATACACAAAACTTTTGATAGGAATGTGTGTTCGTTTTCGGGCAAACGGTCGTCTTCGTACAATCCGTACGGTGATCTCTTGAATACTGTCCTGTGGTTGAGAGATGAGCTTTGGATTCAACTTTGCCATTTGTATTGCGCTCACGACCACCACCATAACCGACTTGATCAATGATAACAAGACTGAGAGAAAGAGACAGAGCGAAAAAGTAGATCTTCGTTTAATTCAATCAGTTTCCACCGCCTGGTCATTTGCCATTTGCACGCAAACAATCTCATGCGCATCTCACAATGTTGTAGTTTGAGAAGAAGAAGACTTCTTAGCCGCTGTGTCGCAAGCCCCGGCTATATCGTTTATTCGTGTATGCTCAAAACAGTAACTTTAAGTGACAGCCATAGTCATGAATGGAATTTGCGTAAATTAAGGGACATTTTGAAACAAAGACATGATGAGAGCGATTACGCTTTAGCCTAAAATGCTGTCAATGATTTTCATGACGAATATTATCATATAATCGGCGCAATGATTGGCTGCCGCTTCTATTGCAGTTTTACTTCGAGCGTATATGTGTACTGTGCACACACAATCTTGAATTGAAGTGAGAGTGTGAGCGAGATCAAAATAGGTGAATATAATACTAAATTTCAAGTTGAACGAAAGAAAAAACACAACGAATTTTTCAGTTCTCGAACAATAAATCTTAATCAGAATGACGTGCGACTTACTTAAGCAAAAACTGCAGCAATAAGCAATAACTATTAGCCACTAAGAGCAAATAAAATCAAAAGGTGTTAACACTAAATCAACAAGCTCATTTGATTTTTAAAAAAAATAGTCCTCATCAACAATGCAAGTGCAATTAAATTTTCCCATAATCGTTTGTTGATGAATAAATTATCTCGTGGCGTTCATTGTTTACGCTCCTTTCAAATCCAGTTATCTTGAAGCAAAAAAAAAAAAAAAATTTGCAAATACTTTGTCGTCAAGTCGTTTCGCCAGAGTTGACTGTGATATGCGCTTGAGTTATAAGTGGCTTTGGAGCGCACAGTCTTTGATCATTGCCCATTCAAGGGTCAAACGAATCATCGAATACGATAATTTAATGTGATAATTTTGCTGGCGATGGTGTTTATTTTCACATATACTTCACTATTTTTACAATATTATAGGGCCCAATTTTTTCATGGCTTTCGACCAATTATAGAGTCATATATCTATTTGAAGAACCAATTCTTCACATTTGTTTGTGATCATTATCACCTTTTTGCGACTTGGAATTTCTCTTTTTTTTTCTTAAATATTTCCAAACTGAATCAGTCTCATTTGTTTATACCCAATTTTCGGCTTTTGAATTGAGACTAGCATCGATTTTTTGAACCTTGGACCTTTTATCAAATGAATATTGATCACTTTGCATGAAATAATCGGCAAAAGTAATGGAAATACCACAGAAAGTGATTGAAAACTCACCAGAGAAAAAAATATGAAATGTTCTGAGTGTGGCGCGTGCTGAATTTGCATTTTTATCTCAATGGATACTGACTCCGTGGGCCCAGCGCTTCGTTTGGATGAAAAAAAAAACAGCCTGATTGCAAAGAGCGTGAACGAGCATACAAGGGATAGGCAATGGACAGGCGACACCGTCTGATTGTAAATAGAAATTGATAAAGTAAATACCGGTTTTGGTGAAGAAATTAAATCATTGAATCGGTAAGGCGTTCTGGCACGCATTTAAATCCAGTCTATTCACCGCTCACGTGATGATGATTCGCATGTTGTTGTGTTTTTTTTTCTTTTCTCGTCTTTTGCTCGCCTCCATTTTTCGCAGCGCATAAACGATTATTATTTAAAGTTTATTTTTTCTGTCAATTTTAAATTTGTATACAAATTGACGGGTATTTTTACACGATATCGGTTTATGATAATAATTCAACGCAGTCGACCGAAGCCATATCTTTATGATTGCTTCCCAAAGTTATTTGTACATGTTTACACTTTCGGCACTCCTTGATTGGACTATCACGAGCTCATGTAGAATTTTGCGGTTTTTATGTTTGATTTAATTTTTTTTTTTATGATTCCTTTATCCGAAGGCGAATGTTTCTTTATTTTGAGTTATTTTCAATATTTTTTAGGAAAAAAAGTAACTATTTCATGTATTTTATTATTCCAGATTCATTCTCAGTCCAAAATCCCACTTCTTAATCCCTCATACAGTGTCTCTGAACACATACTTTCGCACGATTTGATATCATCCAAAGAGATTTGACGTCGATTGATGCTATCATTCGTTGTTAGCTATTCAACCAGAGAATCATGTGTGATTTATGGCCTCATTTAGCATTTAATGATCGTTAGACCCTTTTATTGACAATTCACAAAGTAATTAACAATGCGAACAGAGCAATCTGAGCAAGAATTCCACAATTCGTCACACTTTTATGATTTTCAGTAAATAAAACACAAAAATAATGACAGCAATAACAGCAAAAAAAAGTCGTATCTATTTCTTTATTGTTCAGAACAAAAAAAAAATGTGCTGAGACAAGGTGTGCAATTTGATACACAGTTGGGAAAATGCGCAAAATATTTTGAATTTTTTCCTTGCGAATCAAATATTGCGAAACATCGAATCGATAAATATTTCATTGCACAATTACATTGTGGAAGTGCATGCCATTGAGTCATTACGTCTGTTTCAATTCATAATCTGGCATTAGTTTACGATCGGCAGTTCGGTGCACATACACAGAGAGAGGGAACGAAATCATCATCTGTTGTTTCGAAATGACGTTTTTGTTACTTTATTGAAAAAAGTAACATAATAACTGTGGCATTTTCAAGGTCATATGTACAACCGATTGTATAGCAACGTAATACCTGAGGCTACGCTTCAGCAATGACAGTAAGAATTCCGCGACTCGCATGAAGTGTACTCAACAAAGTATTTTGCTTTTCTCGAATGATAAGAAAATCGATATAGATCGAACTAGCGATAATTTGATTTATTGATCCTTACCAGTGTATTTTGATATCCTAGTCCACATTCGTCATCGTCGTCGGACACCACAGAAAATGAAGCATCCATCGGTTGAATTTTTATGGGCCTTGTCAGTGGCACTTGTAGTGTGTCCATTCTCGGTGATCTTGCGTACATTTTGAACGTTATTTTTTTTGCTCCTTCACGTATTTATCGATGAAAAACACTCAACATTTATGATATTTCAACACTTGAAACATAGATTCTATCCACAATTTAAACGAATACAAACAACACACTTTAATTTACAACAAGAAGAAAAATCCCGTTTTAAACTAGCTCGTTAATGTTAATAAAAAAAAAACAGTTGATCACATTTCGATTGAACGTTGACTAAACGATGCATAGGAACTATAACGCTTTTGACTCGATTAATCACTAATTTTGTGCGCGACTAAAGATTTAATTTCGGGCCATGCACAATTTATTTGATTCTGCAAAGTAACGATTTAATTACCATATAATTTACTTTGATCGACATAATGCAAAAAAAAAGACACAAATTGGTTTGATTTCGCGCATTTGTCATTTGCAATTGTGAATTTTGGTTTTTCTTTATAGTCTTCTGGAGTGCGATCACAGCAAATCGGCAGCCGAATGGAACACGGGTAACGATTATAATTTATGCGATACCATTAGGTCCGAATTTTTATCACAATTTCCATGCTTATTATTTTATTCGTTCTCTCAGCCGTGTTCGCACTCATGTGAGGACGGATTCTTTTTTGCTCGTATTCTCTTTCGCACACACGCTGTCTCCCGTTTTTTATTTTACGCTACTCCATCGCCGTACACCTGATCACTGAACACGATCCAACGGCAAACATTCAAACAACCGCATAGTATTTGTACAACAACGATGTGTTTCTCGCACGGAGGTGCTTCTCTCCCTCTCACGCCGGCGGTTTTTTTCTGTTTTGTTTTTTATTCCGGCTTTATTTTATCTATTTCAAGCGAAGTTTTTTTCAGCATGGAACATTTCTATAAAAAAACAAGAAGAAGATATAATGATACGGTAGCAATGTAAATGAAGGGGAGAAACGGTAATGAACGAAATAATTTAGCGTAAAATGATGGCAAACGCGTTCGATATGAGGATAGTTCGGTTTGACCACTGTCAATTGTTTGCTTTGAAAGTTTCAAATTGAAAATAGAACTTGTTCTATGCGAATACAGCAATGGTTTTGTTCGACAGATAAGTAATATTTCTTCGTTGATTATTATCTGTCGGTGGTTCTTTTGCGAAATGTGCAATATCGTTACGTGTGGAGCGTACACATTGAACGATATGACGCTAATAAATCGAATTTTATGTGCCAAAAGATAGTGATCTTGAAGTGATGGATTGAGAATACATCAATGGCCTCCTTGTTCATTGACACAACGGACTGAATTAAATCATATGTATCTTCTCTCAATGATCGAATGAAGACAACAACTTGTATTCAATTCCAAACAAGAACTTTTGTTCATGGATACACGCACGCATTGATGACACAACCGATGCTTCCGAGCCACATGATTCTGTTTCTTAATGCATCTGATTCTGAATATTTTAGTTCACGTCCAAAGTCACATGCATCGCAGTGCAAACACGGCAAACAAAAAATTGTTCGTATGACCATTATCTGGTTGACTAAAGTCCAGTCAAATGATTAAAATAATGACATCACTTCGGTGGCAGGTGCATAATTTGAAATTAATTAAGAAATTATGGAAATCCTCAAAGGCGATGCCAAATTAACTTTTGACTTAATGATTTTTAAGTGTAAAAATTAATAAATTTTTAAATAACCTCTGATTTGAATGCAAAAAAGTATAGTAGAGAATGAAAAAAAAAATCAATAAACCGAAAAGTTATTTCACAGGGTATTTCCCATTTGATTGACCGAAATATTTCTTTAAAATATGTTTGTTTGAAGCTTGTCAAAAGCGTCAAATATTCCTAACAAATCGACTTGTTCGCGCAGTTGAATTTATTGATTGTGACTAATTGTGCAGGCATTTGCCGTGCTATTTGTAAATGGAGATTTCAGTGTGTAACATGAAGCGGGAGGTAATCGGATTGTACTGCGTACATGTACTCGACGCAAATGCCAAATTATTGTAAGTGTGCATTCAGTCGCGTAGCTGCATTTCGATTGCATGTTTTTTCTTTCGTTGCTCTTTTCAAAAGCGCAACCAATGCTTAACTTTTCTGTAATGCCACCCATTTTAAACGCTCATTTTCTCCATAATCATAACAATTTGTATTTTAATAGAACTTAAAGGTTGATACGAATAATGAATAAATAATTAGTTAATTACGGCAAAATTCAATAAATCTCTAATCGCGACACAAAACACGCACAAATTGAGATTGATAGTAGTCCGGCTGAATGGTCTCTACGGTTGCAAATGTGTACAATTAAAAAGATTCGATGGTTATGGAATCAGAATTCATGAAATTATTTAAAAAAAACAATAGTAACAATAATGAGTGCGACAGTCTGACACGTTCGTTTGAATTAAGTGTTTGGCGCATTGAATGAACCTGATACCGCAGTGTAGATAGTTTTATCTGGTAGCTGTCGATTTTGTTCAAACAAAATGGACGTTATTATCCAATAATCTTTGCACTCTTTTCCTTTCCTCCCTTCTCAATCACGTGATCAAATACGTACAATCAATTTGTAATGATGAAACAGTTGAATTTATAAAATGGCAACCCGTGAAGTACTCGAAGAGTTTCTATTGTTTCTTAAAAAAAATATATTCGAAGCTCGTTACAAAAACAAATGAGAAACAAATCGCGCTTACACTGCAAAATCAGTTGAAAAGTTATTTGCGTGCAAAACCAAGCGAAACCAGATATATCAAGAAAACAGGGTGCTTACTGCTTACACAGGAACTTTCGCAATCGAATCGCTTGCTAACAAAAACAGGAAAAAACAATGCAGAAGCAGCTGTTCGGCGCTACTACTCTAACCATACCCCCTCCAATTCAATACTCGCACTTTTATCAGCATCCAGCGTTTTATTTACTCCACATTTTCGTTTCGGTTATCAGTTCAAACCGTCAGCGCGTGATTAAAATTACATGTAGATTAACATTTTATTACTGATTTCCAGTCATGTGACTGCTTCTGCGTTTGACAACAAAGAACCGATACAGAAAACATCAATAGTCGATTTGGACGCGTTAGGCGTGGGCCACTGCGATGCCATGGAAACTTTGCTAATCGAATATTCTTCTTAATTGATATTATCCTAATTATCATTCATGCTGATAATACCCAGATTTTAACTGTATTTTTGTTGCTGTATTCGGTTCCAATGAACTCGGAAATCATGATTTACATTTTTTTTCTCACATTATCTCTTTAATTCTCTAGGAATAATAAAAACACATTTGAATTTTTTGCCAGTATCATTTATGAGAGTCTCACAATGTGGCTAGATCGAGCAAAATTCAAGTGTTAATTTTCCACAAACAACAAACAACGACTCAAATGAACGGAATCGATTTAGGGCACTAAATCTTTTGACATTCTTACATAAATTCTTATCAAAATACGCAATTAGTTTGGAGGACGATGCGAAAAACAACGTTCATATGTATGTGTGTTGGTGTATTGATGTAAATTGTGTCAAAACCGTACACTACATTTCGATTACTCCTCGTTTATGACCGTCAGATAGGCAGAGTATTATCACACAAAAAACGTCACTCTGATCAGTTTATCGTGTAGATAATTCGATGAGCATGATTTTCAAATTAAATGGTAATTTTAGCCAATAAATCACCCAATTTTAAAAATAACTTCCAATTACTTCACTGTATCACAAGGAAAAAGACGAAAATTACCAGGCAATTGAACGTTCTATGAATGAAATTTGTTTTTTCAAATAGAACTTACCAAAATGTGCGCACTCAAAAACCGCACAGTATTTTAAAATTTGATCAAAATCACTGTTAATATTCAACTGAAGGGGGAAAATGGTTGTGGAAAGTGCAATCGATACCGTACTCGATTGAATTGACAATGGCATTCAAATCACAATCGACGACTCATTTATCTTTTTTTTTCTTCTCTCTCGTTGGAACAAAAACAGTTCCGTCTGGCGATATCAGTATTTCATGGAATTTAACGCACCGATTCCCTGTCTTCACTGACCTTTGTTTTATGGTCGCAATGAGCAACATTTGCCATTGTCACAATGAGCACCACTTGATTCTAATAATTAACACAGTTCTGTGAAATTAAAGATCTATTTTCACACGGAAAAAAACAAAGAACGAAAATGAATTCTGAACTGGAATTAATCGTGTTGCTATTGACAGTGGTTTTGCCTTTAGTTGGACACACACTTCTTTCACTCTTTGCGTCAACTGAATCACTAAATATTCATCCAGTTTTGGGTAGCTGTCGATAATTGAAAATCACAATAAAGTGCTGAACGAATTTAGACAACGATCCAGATAACATATTTATATTTATGTAAATAATATTGATATGGTACAGTTTTACTGGATTTTTTTTTTCGTTCTCTAGCAGCGAACACCGACGATAGTAGCAACGATTTGTTCAGTAAATTGATTCGCGTTCCCTGATGATAATGTCGGAATGAACAACAACAAAAAATAAACACTTTTTAACACGACTTTGATAATAATCGTCATGAATTGAAGCATGCGAAATGCTCGCGTTTACCACTAAACGTCTAAATCGAGTCAATCACGTGGACATACGCACTGGTTTTTTCTTTTCCATCTTGAACCGAAAAATTCGAATGGAAACTCTTTTTTCAACTTCAAATGAACATCGTTTGAAGATTCATTTGTGCGAATGAACCAATGTCGGGTGAACAATTAATATCATTTGGCAAATTATAGCTCTCTAGAGCTCGATGTCGACTTTGCCGTGCGACGACAGCCGCACTAATTCCTTCTTATTTTTGATAGGTTAGGGTTCTTTTGTTTTGATTTCGCGCCGTCTGTTGTGTCGCACTATTTGGTATTGTGTGTTCACTTATCGCGCTCTATGGTCTCTGGTGATTTATGTCAAACGTTTCGGTTTAGCCGCACACACCGTATTTTCAATACTTGAACACATACAAACACAAACAATCGGCAGAAGCATCAGGTGTCAACTGTCTCAGTGTTAATGCAAACAAAACACGACGATGAATACGCGTCGATAGACTTGGTACGATTGCATAGCGGAAAGCGGTTTTGCGAAAGAATGAGAGGTAAGAGTGCATGCGCAAAATTATCTCAAGTCTTATTAATTAGGTGACGCAAAGCATCAGAATCAGCTTGACTAATGAATGAAGCGCGTATAGCACATCCAATTGCGATAATCTCTAGGGGCTTTCATGTATATTCCATCTAAGAAATATACACCATAGATGACAGTCATACGAAATATTCACAATACTGGCAAAATATGCACGATATTCACGGAATACACACGATATTCATGAAATATACACCTCATATTCACGATCGGTAACAAAGATTCGACATTGCCGTAAACGCATATTTTTTACATGCTGTGTATATTCTGTGAATATGGTGAATATTTTTCGTGAAAATATACATCATATACACGGATTATATGCAATATTCACGAAATATTCACACAAATACGAATGTATATTTTGACTTAAAAGCCCCTAGGATAATCTGCATTCGATACAAACGCTTATCACAATCATAGATAAAACAGCACTTTACTGCAAACACATCATGAACATGGACAATATTTACACTCTTAAGTAGCTAATTGACTGTCGCTAAGCTGTTGTTGCATAGCGCTAGGCGAATAAATATCATCAACACCGATCTGATATGGCTACCAGGAACAAAAACTGTTTGATTTTTTTTTGCTCATTTTTTTTTAATCACAGTTTTTTTGTGACTTTTTTCTGTCACAAAAGGCAACTTTTTCCATCTATCATAAATGGTATAGAAATCGTGAGCATCTTCAGTATCTTCTTTTCAATTCAAATCCCAAATCCTGTTGTTTGAATCGTTGATATCGTCTTCAATCCGTAAAAATAAAACTTTTGTTGATTTGTTTTTAGTTTGATCAAATGGTGCAATCAACCACTTGATTCAAATTGATGTAGAATTGCTGAAAATATTCTGGGACGGCTTATGAATACGAAATCATTATATGTCATTTATATTTCGATACCACAGCCAGTCACATCTCAGTATTTTTTTTAACGCATTCTAGGTTTCCAATGTCAGTTAGTCAACTATGAAACTGTTGGAAAAATGGTAAGTTTTCGAAATATTCCGAATTTTTATTCCATAAAAGGTCGACTGTTTCTCAAGTGTTGTAGTTTTCATTTTACCCAATCGATTTTTCGAATCACAAGAAGATCTTTATATCAGTAGAATTGTTCATGCAGTGTTTATTGAATTTGATGGGATTGAAATAAAAAAAAAACACCACTTCTGGAGGGGTACTTACCTTTTTTTTAGAAAATGCAATTTTTCAATTAAAGCAAAAGAATCTCGATGAATCTATGACTTGATGGGAATTATTTCTTTTTCAAGGTTTAGTTGCAAAAGTATCAAGTATTTGTACTTCGAATTTCGAGTCGATCATTCAATGAGTCGATATATCAATAATATAATCTTCAGTGGTCGAGCTCAACATCTATAAGATGGCCACACTCATATCCTATGAAAAAGCATAGATTTGGTTTGGACATATAAATTATTATCCAATAAATCAGCACCATATGATATGACTTGCGCGAAAAGAAAACTCTTTGCTTTTTTTTTTAATTTGATTTTCCATTTTTATTAATCTCCAAAGAAATACTTTCGAATACGAACAAAATATTTCGGTATGACTTGTCTTTACACATATAGTAATTTTGTTTGTTTTTTTTTTTTTCCTCTCGACTTAAAAACGTACAGACATCGAAAAATGACATTGAAAAATGGTTTTTTATTTGATTTTTTATTCGAGTTTTTTTCTTCTTTAATTTAAATTATTGTTGTCTATTGTCCATCAAATTCAACAGCGTGAATCATTTTTCGTTTCGCGAATTTAGTTAAGACCGAACAACAAAAAACATTTGTATATAAAAAACCAATCGAATAAAAAAACGAAAACAACGGAATTTATCTTGAACGAATGAAAATGGGCTTTAAATAAATGACATTATTTTTAGAAAAAAAAGAGACGTGACTGTATGAATTTAGCTGCATTTTGTTCATATTGTCTATATCCGATTGGTTGTATTCTAATTGCTACAATGTGTTTCTTTTGTACAATTGTGTTTGTTCAAGTTATTTGTTAATTTTTGGTTATTTGTTTGAATCGCTCTATTTTGTGACCTCACAAATGGCTATTTTTTCTTTTCTTTTCTCTTTATTTTTAGCAGTTTCTTTTTTGTTCAGTTGCAAGAAAAAGGAAATAAAACAATAATAATATTTAAAAATTAAAATAGTAAAATACATTATAATTATCACAGATGTTCCGTTTGTTTTTTTCCTCTCATAGTTGATTCTCCGTTTTTTTTTTTATTAAATAAATTCTTACCCAATTAACGAATTGATGAAAAAAAAACTGAAGAAGTCGGCAAAAATACAATTAAACGAATCGAGTGTTGCGGTGTTCACCGGAGAGTAATACTACAAAAAACAAATCGGTACTAAGTTTCGCTAATCCAAACATTTGTCTAGTTTCATTGTTTGTGTGGACAACTTTTTGTTCCTTTTTGACGAATTGAATAAAATTAATGCACTTTTTTTTCTGGTGCTTTTTTTCCATCACACAAATCGACTTAATTCTAATTTTTTTCTTCTATTATGGCAAAATGTATTTTCAATCCGAAAAATGTGTTTTTTTTTCTTTCCTTTTTCTGTTGTACACCGAGAAAAATATCGATATTATTGAATTGTATTTTTTGTTTGTTTGGAAGAAGAAAAAAAAACCGTTGCGTTTGATTTTTCACTGTTTGAAACAAATACTTGCAATTAGTCAGTCGGTTTCGCTTACATTCATCTAAATGTAACATATAGAGGGTGTTTTGTATATGTAGTGTATACTGTTGGGAACGCGCTCGCGCTCGCGCTACCAGAGAGAATAATAATTTATCGATTACTGTTTAGTTGCTTTGATTTTTTGTCTCTAATACTATTTGAAAAGTTGGTTAAAGTGTTGTGTCTCTCTAGAGACCGTAATGTGTGTGTGTGTGTGTGTGTTAACATCCAACATTTTAACGCTAGTAATAAATACGAAGCACACGCATACACACACAAATTGAACACGCAATTCTACACAATTAATTTTTAATCCATTCACAATATAAATTCTTATGAGAATTTCTCCCCTTTTTTCTCGTCGAAGGTAAAGGAAGTGTGTGGGAGAGGCGACTAGACACGGAACATTTACTTGAATGTTGACATTAATTCGTTCAGTTTATTGGTTTGGATGGTCGGTTTTGGTTTACCGATCGGATGGACGACTGGTTTGTTTGGCACCGAACTCACATTCTGATTGCTCGTGAATGGACTGTTGGACGACGCAAGTGAATCGTTGCAATGTGAACGATTCAAATCGAATTCATGCGATGAATTCAGTGGAAGCGCTGGTATTGAGTGACAGCTGCTCGACAGTGATGCGGATGTCTTTGTTTTGGTTGACGAGTGTTGACCATCATCGAAATCACCACATTCAGCCGTTGTTGTATTACCAGCGCTCGTATCGTGCTGGCTGCTGTTTCCATCGCAACCATCATCTATTTGCACAACGAAACTGTCGTTATCCGAGCACTTCACCGTCTTTGGATACCGATTGAAGTAGGTTGTTCCAAGTAACGCATCGTGATCATTGTTTGCGTCATCTTCTTCTGTGTCAGTTCCGTTTCGATGCGGTTGCAATGGAGCATTGCTCATCGAGCAATCATCTTTGTATCGTCTGAAGATGTCATCACTCACACCCAAGCTGCTATGGCCACAGCTACTGTCGCTGTTGCTTCTAAGCACACCGTGACATCGCGAAATGGTAGCCGTTCGCATTGCTTGTACTGGTTTTTCGTCACCTTTTGGAAGCATCGACACATTTACTGACTTTAAAATTCCCTCTTTGGTTATGTGGTTTTCGATATCAGTACCATCATTTCGATCGGCATCGTCGGGACCGCAACCATTTTCCTTTTTCGTTTGGTACAGGATTATAATCCATACAATCGATGTACCAATCGCACAAACAACCACCGTGATTATAATGATGGCTGTGATTTTGTCGCGACTGTAAGCATCTGTAGGCACCACCTCATTCGTGGCAACCGGTTCGGTTCTCACCTTCAATTGGATTAATGACCTTTCGATGCCTAACGTGTTTTTTAATTCACACGTGTAGAGACCAGCATCCTCCTCCGCAGTCTTAACGATTATGAGCAATTGGTTCTCTTTGGCCAACAAATATCGGCTTTCTGATGCCAAAATTTCCTTACTATTCTTGAACCAACGGATATCTGACAGAGTTGGACCACTGTTCAAACATTCCAAAATTGTGTATTCTCCGACTAGCACGTCCTTGTATTCCATTGGCTTGATGTAGGTCAATGGTTCGGCTGAAATAGAAGAATTTGATTGGAAAGGTTCGAATTGGATTCATTCAAAAGAAATTTCGTTGAGTTTCAATAATAAGAACATCTCGTTGGAAAAACTCACTTATTTCCACAGTGACATTTGTGTGTATGATCCCAGCTGAATTTTCTGCCGTGCAGGTGTAAATTCCTCTATCGGATGTCTTGGCGTTGTCAATAATAAACGATTCATCGTTGTCCATAATTTGCATTCGCCGTTCACGCGCCGCTGGAAAATCGTTGCCAAAGTTGAATTGCCAGTAAATCTGTGGCTTTGGATCGCCATCAACAGCGCAGTCCAATTGAATTCGTTCCGATGTTCGGACTGTTATATTTGTTGGTTGCTTCGTGAAAACCGGGTATGCTGCAAGTGGATTGATCATCATTGGATTTTTTTTTATTTTGTTACATTTATCCTGTTCATTCATTTTTTTTAGAATAAATACTTACACGCTACTGTAACTTTGAACTTCTGTGAATAAGCGGTTCCAAAATTGTTGGAAGCGATACACTGGTACCGTCCAGCCGTTCTTGAATCAACATTTATCAAGTGCAGTCTCGATGTAGCCATTGTACTGTTGATGGGTATGTTTGCCTCGATGTCCTCAACTGTTGCTACTACTTCATCAATACTGTCTTCTTCTCCATCGTAATGATTTTCGGTTTCATATTCGCCCTCATCCAGTTCGCCTCCAACTTCCTCATCGTCACCTTCATACTCGTCTTCGCTATCATCAAACTTGGAAAATTTCGATCCCGACGACCACAGTGGTACTTTTGGTGCGCTCACTTTAGTTCGCAATGGACTTCGATTGGCCTCACGTCTGCGTTCAACCATTCGCTCTTTGATGCGCAATCGATTCTCGTCCTTTCGTCGTGTCTTAGATTCGATCAGTGCAGCATCGATGTCATTATTGTCATGCTTCCATGTGAATACTATATCCGAACCAACTGTAACGAATGCCGTGCATTCGATAGTTTGATTCGTTCCTTTGATGGCCAAAATTGATGACTTTGGCTCGTCGACCATTTGAGGTTTTGGTGTTTCGTCTGGAATTTGAATGAAACAAATTGGTGGAGTTAAAATTTCGTGATTTCGTCGGTGATTTTTTTTCTCCAAATATTCTGGAAAAAAATATAGTGAGGTGAAAATGCCGAAGAAACTTACGACACGTTAAATCATCCTTTTGAAGTTGCAGCAAACGTCGATTGCGCAATGAGAATGGGAAAGCGCATCGAACATCGATGTTACCCTTGCGTTCGCCGGACTGTCTCTTCACACCCGTCGATTGAGCATTTTTGGCCCAAAAGTAGAACCATGACACATGACAGTCACAAATCAAATCGGTGCTATTGATGTGCAAATGCTGAAGTAATTGTGTGTTGTATTGATCCTGGAAAGCACCGTCCTGAATGGTCGTAATGTTATTGTTGCTGATATCGAGTTTAATGAGGCTAACTAAGCCAAGGAACGCATTTTTATTGATGGCTTTAATATTGTTATCGTTCAAGTAAATTGTGTCGAGTTTATTGAGTGATGCAAACGGTCCGTAGGAATCTTCGATTGCGGCTGAGATTCGATTCTGGCTCAAATCCAACGATTCCAAGTTGTACGTTGCATTCAATGCTCCCGAACTAATTGTTGTGATTTGATTGGCATGCAAGTCAAGGATTTTCAATTTGTTCAACTTATCAAAAGTGCCCACATTGATTTCGGCCAATTGATTCTGGGACAAATCCAAATGAATAATGCGCTGTGTAAATTCCCAGCAATCTTTTCCGATTGTGTGAATTGAATTGTTGGCCAAATTCAATTTTGACAGTGCTGTGATGTTAAGTAAACCGCCTTTCTCTATCTTGGTCAAGTGATTGTTCGCCAGATCCCTAAATACGAACACAGAAGGAAAAAAAACACATACCATTTTACAACGTTGCAAAATTCTTTGTTTACACAGCGAACGGAAATATTAAAATATAAATTTAAAATCGACAGAAAAGAACAAATAAGCAGAAATAAACACTTACAACAAACTCAAATTATCGAGACCATGAAAAACTCCGGTAATCAATTCTTCAATATAATTATTCCGTAGTTTCAAAGTTGTTAAAGCGGTCAAATTGCTGAACGTTGCATATTGAAGATTTGCTCGCAGCTCGTTAGCATTCAGCGAACTATAATCGTGTTATTTACAATTCAATTGCAATTCCGAAAAAACGCGACCGGGAAATATAAAACAAAACAAACAAAACGGAAAATGAAAAAAAAAAAATGCAAAAAATGAAAATTAAATCAAAACAAAAACCATGTTGACATACGTCATAAAATTCAAGACAAATTCGCGTTAAAACAGAACCAGCGGACGAAAAAAAAACAGAAACAAATAGAATAGTGTCGCGCTGTTTGTTAGTTTAGCTAAGGCTTGAAGTGTACTTACAGTTTTTTTAGCTTCTTGAGTTTGGCGAAGAGGCCGACTGGCAGTTCACTGATACGGTTTTTGTTGATTTTAAGCTCATTCAGCTGAACCAGCGGCTCGAATGCACGCCGATCAAGCGTCGTAATTTGATTGTTGTTCAGAAATCTGTCAAACAGAATAGGAAAAAAAAATACGTCGAATCGGATTAAAATACTTGAGAAATGACAAAGTGTTTGCTTTAGCATAGAAATCCAATATCAGCTTATAGCGTATTACTAAACAAATAAATAAATGTTATCGACTAATGGAAAATCGATCGTAAAGAAGAAGAAGATATGTACAACTTACAATTTCTGAATGTTGTTTTGCTTGGGGAATGAGTTGGTTGCGATGGCAAGAATCATATTACGGCTTAAGTCTAAATGCTTGAGATTAGGCAATAGTTGTAATGCCGCCAATGTAATTTCACCGATTTCATTGTTCGCCAATTCGAGAGTTTCCAGCGCAGCTACACCGTGCATAATGGGTATGCGCTCCAATTTGTTGTCATTCAAATTCAAATCGATGAGATTTGGCAAATTGCGAATGCCCTGCTCACACATCACCGCATCAAAATTATTCTGCGGAAGCTCTCTGTTTGCAAAAAAAAAATAACCAAGAAAAGAAGTGGAATGCATTAATTTAAAGGTATATATAGATATAAAAGGAAATCGATCATTGCATAAGATACGTGATATTCTTATTTGATTCGAGTGAGAAAAGAAATGAAGAGAAAAAAAAAGAAAAAATAAAACAAAACGAAAATACGGTTCGAATCGATTTGAAAAAGGCCAAAGGAAACGAGAAAATAACGAATAAAAAGTGGCAACAAAAGAACGAGCTGTGAAGCAATTAAATAAAAAAAAGACGAAAAAGAAGAAGAAGAAAAGAGAATAAAAAAAAACATCAGCAACGTACAGTGATTGTATGAATTGTGGCACTTTAGGTAAATGCTTCAAATGTGGCCGTGTGCAGGTCATGAAATCGTTTAAGCAAGAGCATTCTTTCGGGCACAATTCAGTTGGTGCTGTTGTTGTTGTATCTGCTGGTGCCGTAACGTCTGCGTTTGGTGTTGCTGGCTGTTGTTGTGATGATATAGTCTGTAACAATGCAGCAATTTCAGCGTCGGTTAGCTCTTTTGGTCGTTGTATAATTTGCGTTCGTGCGCTTTGTGCTTGTTCTACGATTTCGGGCGATTGCTGCACATCGTTTTTTTCGTCGTCGTCGTTGCCGCCGCCATTTACTTTGTTATTTTTCTTCTTCATTCTGTTCTTGCTCGGATCGCTCTGTTCGCCATCGTAATATTCGTCATCATCGTAATCGTCATCTTCATTCGAGTTTGGTTCATTTTCCCGAACATAATCGCTATCATCACGAAGGGGTAGGCCGTGTTTTGGCATACGGAATTTGCCATTTCGACTGGTTGCCGTCGTCTTTGTCGTCAACGTCGTTTCAGCCTCGGCTGACGTACGATCATTTCGTTGACCATTTTTGTCACACAGACCAAATGGAAGACAAATGCATAATAAAATAATTGCCAGAATATGCCAACAAAATTGCTTTCTCATTTCGATCAATTTTCGTTGCCGTGATTCACGCCTCGATGTTTTGTTTTTTTTTTCTGCGTTCGAACACACAAAAATGTGTGATGAAGGAAAGATAGAATGAGAAACAGCGTAAAAGAAACAAAATCCTGCTGGAATATTTTGTTGTTGTCGATGATTTCTTATTTCACACTTCGAATAGCAGCTTCCATGGCTTCCCGCATCGCGATCCCAATGTGTAATTATATAATTAAAATGAACACTTCTCCTTAATTATACACACTTTTGAAGGAAAATATGAACGAAAGAAAAAACGTCTTTTGCGGTTTAAGAATTTAATTTTCTCTCTCGTTTCGTTATAGTTCGTTCGTCTTTTTCACAAAACACACACTGAACTGTACTCTTTTTTTCAATTCTCTTTCTCTGCTATTTACTTGATCGTGTTCTTTTTTACTCGCTAATGATTTTCTCCACTAAAACGTATGAATTATTTTCTATATTATATTCGCAAATTGTACTTTTGTTTCTGCACAACAACACTTTGGCTAATTTGTTCTGCAAAAAAAAAAAAAATATATGCAAACGGTGTGTGTACGATGCTGTTTACGTGTTAATCGATCGCCGATCGAACAGTGAATGAGCTCATGCGATACTTGAACCCGATCGAATGCGCGCGTACAAACGATATATTATATTGATGTTGCTGCTCTTGCTGCGGCCGCTGCCTTTTGTTGTTATACGTGTGAGCGTTGTCGTTCAATTATTTACCACAATTTTTCACTGTCGGCTATTTTGTTTATCTCAAAATCAAATTCGGATCGGATAGAGAGCGAGCGAGCGAGAGGGAGAAGTGAACAAAAAAAAAATATGGCACAATAAAATACGATCCATTCAGTGTTGCTTCAATGCATGGTGGCAATGTTGGCATGAATGTTCGAATGCACTCGTTTGTGTTAATTTCCAACTTCATCAACACTGAAAAGAGAAAAAAGAAAAAAAAGAAAAAGAGAAACCGAAACGAAACGATTTAGTAAAGGGAAAAAGGAGACGAAATTTATTTAAATTTTATTTTTTGAAGATCATTCTCGACATTTTTTTTCGTGAGTGTGTGTCCAGAATCGAATGAATAAAATTACGAGAAAAAGATCAAAATCCCAATAAAAATGAAGTGTTCTATTCATGTAGTTTGAATTCAATAGAGTTCTTCTTGTTCTTCTTCTTCTTATTTTTCCTTTTTTCTTTCATTCTCTCCTTTGAATGGTATTCTTTTATTAAAACGGAATAATAATAAAATGTAATAACAAAACCTCGGAACGAATGCTTTATTCACGTGTGTGTGTGTGTGTGTATGTGTTACTGCTGTTGTTTGTTGTCGGAGTGCAGCATAAAGATGCCGAGGAGAAGCAATAACAAATGAAAATTTCTGTATTAAATCGCTTTGTGTGAAAAAATAAATGTGTTTTTTGTGTCCTTTCCGTACAAGAACAGAGAAAACGAATCAGGGAAAAAAATACACAAGAAACGGAGAAGAGAAGAAAGGAACACATAAATCTATTTCAACAGCGAGAAAGAAAAAAAAATACTAAACGAAAAACGATCGAATCGGATACCTGCTTAACCAACGAACAAACCAACCAGCCATCCAACGAATGAGCCGAATTCAAGGCAGATGAACGAAAAAAACAAATCGACAAAATTTCACACCACACAATTGAAACGCATAAACAACGGACAGATTCAATGCTCAAGAGCAAAGGCGATCTCAGAACAGTCATAAAGCGTAGCGTATGTGTGAGAACGAGATAGAGAGATTGAGAGTGAAGAGAAGAGGGAATAAAAATATATTTAATTCGAGAAATATATATATTCGTTTTTTTCTGTCTTTCATTGAATAAATCACAAGAAATACGATTGTAGAAAATACACACGAATAAGATGTGAAGGCGTAAAATGGTCTTTTGTTGTTCGTTAGCCAGATCGTCTCATATTATACGTTGGCATATACTCACACACACACACACATTTATGCAGCGCAGCATAGCACGGAATATATATGGAAACGATGATGATGATGATGACGATGATCAAAGCAAAGGAATATAAGAAAAGCAAAAATATGAACACAACGAGCGAAGAGAAGAAAAAAACCCACAGATTTTGTTTGTTGATTCTACTGGTCGTGCATACAGGGCTATGGAATCTCAACTGAAATGCACATTCCGCAGAATTTTCATAAAAGATGGGCATTGAGTGTTAAACCGGAGTACTGTACCAAATCCAAAACGCAACACGAAGCATCCCAAAAACAGTCAATTGAAACGAATCGATGCGCATTTTATTCAACAGAAAGAATCGAAAAACGAGAGAAGTGTTTAAATATGAACCGAAACACATGTGTGTTTGTCGCTTCACATTCCCTTTGTGACCATTCCTTTTACAATTCTTTTCGGTGTCGTTTTTTTTTCGCATTCGTATGCATTCGGAAATCGAGCACCAAGTGTGAAAATAATAAACGATCCGATATATTGTGTCTGTACATATGTACGTTATATGTACCGAAATCTTGATATAACCCAAGTCCGTTTCTCTCTCTCTCTCTTCATGTGTACCTACGCCGGAATTCTTATTCTTCACATCGCGCGCGCGCGGGTTCCGTAAGAAGCAAAGAAGAAGAAAAACTGAAACGCTTATACTGACTATATACGACCAACATCGATCTCGCAGCCTGCTTCATTTAGGTGTGATTTCGTGTAGGATCTCAACAGTAGATGCAATGCGACGGCCAAAGATTCACAGCTCGCTCGTTGGATACTCAAAACAGCATTGAGAATAAAGCCTCTGCGAGAACCAAAAATGAATACATAAATAAAATCACACGAAAATAAGATCGAACGAACAAACGAACGAATGTGAGAATGAAGATAGAAGCGAAGAAAAACAACAACAAAAAACGTCGCTTGCATGTCTACTTGATTTTGTTAGCTGTTGTGAATTGTTCGAAGTGTGAAACACATACAATTACGCTCTGCATTCGGTGTACTTGAATGAAGAGAAAAAAAATCAACCGTCCAATGCTTACGGAATGAAAGAAGTACACAGAGACGAGAGAAGAAGAAAAAAATAACACCAAAGAAACTACCATTTGGCTTTTGGGTTGCATAGAGGATATGGAATTCTTGAATGCACGATTGCCAAGCACTTTGTTCGACTGTACAGTGAATCTGTGGGCTTTTTTGTATGCACATTATGTTGTTGCGCGCGCGATCCGATCAATACGATTTTTCTTTTTCCTTTTATCCCATATAAATATTCGGTTTGTTTTTTTTATATTCAGCGTTGTGCATCTGATAAATCCAACACACTTGAGTTTCGGAGAAAACGATAACCAATCAGGAAAAAACGCCCAGAATTTTTTTTTTTTATGAAACGATGAAGAGTGCAACAACAAGAAAAAAATGCCTCGTCCATCCATATTTACAAACAACTACGGCGCGTTTTTTTTATCAACACGTTCCCAATTATTTGCTGATCACACTATTGTGCATTGCTTTTAAATGTGCAAACAAATATACCGTGTTTTATCGCGCGCGAAGCAACAAAGCAAAGGAAACATGTCGTGTTCATTCTTTGAGAAGGACTTTATCAGACGAAACGAAAATAAAAGAGTTTAAACAGAATGTAAATCATATAAAAGCACCGTAAAATAGTGACAGAGAAGAGCACTAAAGGAAGAACAACATATACTGGTACAGCCAACAAATCATAAAACTCATAAACTTCAACACTTTTGTCGCAGCGATAAACAAATACAAATATCATAATATGATTTTTTTTCTCTTCTTTTTTCTCCGTTGTTGAGTGTCAACAAAATAAAACGACCAATTTTCATTCTCAATTCAATAAAATAAAAACCAATAGAAAGAGTGAGAGAGAGAGAGAGAGAGAGAAGGAGAGAGAGAGAGAGAGAGAAGGAGAGAGAGAGAGAGAGAGAGAGAGAGAGAGAGAAAGAGTCTCTCATTGAGCTAGCGAAACGTAAATACGAGCGATGAAGACAGCAGAGAATAAAAAAAATCAATAAATAACAACACACACACAACACTTCCTAGTACACACTCAATGGAAACCTATGAATTAATATATGCTTTCGTAAGAAATTTGCTAGCGTTATTTTTTTTCCCTCTTCTCTTTAATGAATCGACTTCAAAAACACCATAATTATCTGAAAGTTTTCTCGTGTTCCGTCTACGCAAAAATACAAATGAGACCACTTTTTATGACTTAGAACCTAAAATAAACTGTCCACATAAACACATATCACGAGATTCGAAATAGATTTTTGTTGTTGCTTTTCCTATTATCACTCACACCAACTGCTTACATACGTTCGATGAGGAATATTTTGTTTTCTTGCATTTCTTACATTTTATTGATTTTTTCCACTTGGCCACAATCAACAATCCATCACATTTTTTCCTTGCTTGACGTCAACACACTTCATTTCAACAGAAAACATTTAAACGGAAACATTTGATTACACGAAAAATGCCAAATTTATGCGCTTATTTATGCGAATTAAAAACAATTGCTACGACGATTTAGATTTCGTCTCACTCGTTATTTTTTTTATTTTCTGTAGTTTGAGATACACCGAACAAGCTCTGCTGCGACGAGAAATACTGACTTGACTGAAATAGTAAAGCACCGAATAGTTTTGTTTTTCTTACTCTCTTCCGAATCGTAGTCGTTGTGCTCGTGCTTCGAATATATGCTACATAACACATACATACACATACAAACAACTGTTTACGTGAAATGGTTCACTCTCTCTCTCTCTCTCTCTCTCTCTCTCTCTCTCTTTCTCTCTCTCTGCTTGTTTCCACTTCTAACTGTGCAGCGCACAAAGTGTCAGTCAGGTTTCTCTCTCAGTAGTATGTGTGGGTGCGTTCAATCGAATCGAACAAGCAACAACGCCATCTTTTTATTGGAAGATGAATTTCGTTCAAATTCAACATAAATCATTCAATGTTTGAATCAAGTTGATCGAATTCAATCTTATTTTGTTATTAAAATCTGAAGAAAAAAAAATCTGAAATTGAATTCTTCTAAAATTCCATTCAATAAAAACATCTTCAAATGATTGAAATTTGTATAAAATATTAGGTTTATTCGAACGTTAATTAGATAGAAAACAAAACTTGATTCCTTCTTCTTCTTCTTTTCAATGTAAAGGGGAAAAAGTTTTCAAAAATGTTTCGGCTAAAACAAATGCGAGAAAATGCAAAACGGTTAATGAGAATTGAATGATTCTAATAGCTTCTTCCGAAGAGAGTGTAGGCTTTTGGTTTGAGTGTGCATTTTGGATGTATACACTTTGCGTTGGCGTCAAGCGATTTTGGTTGTTCGAATGGTATGCACAATGATTTGGCTCCCATTGCCAATGCTCCAACTTCGGTGTCAGCGTCGTTGTTGGCGCTGTCATCCTTGATATATTTCTCGCAAGTTTGATCACCGCAGAATGGAGCCAATAGCAAATTCTTTTTTGCCAGTCCACCGACGAAATCAGACCAGCTGTGAACAAGACAAATATGTTTATCGAAATCTGCCTTTGCCTTGTTGAACATGTCGCTGTGGATTTGTTTGAGCAAAGCTGGAATTTTTATTGGCACTTCACTCAATGGAATTGTCAACTTTTCACCGGTGTCACGACGTACAGCAACCAATTGCTTGGCTTTCATATCCTTCGGGCCGAGTTCAATACGAATTGGAACACCTTTGAGTTCCCAATGGTTGAATTTCCAACCCGGTGAGTAATTTTCACGGTAATCACCTTCGACACGAACTTGAGCTGCTTTTAGCGTCGCTTCTAGCGATTTACAGCTGCTCAAGAGCTCTTCCTTTTCTTCTGGTTTGGTGTTAACTGTTAAGCCACATGGTACAACGATCGCTTGAATTGAAGCCACATTCGGTGGCAATACAAGACCTTTGTTGTCAGCGTGCACCATAATCATTACACCGATAGTACGTGTTGTAAGACCCCATGAATTCTGGTAAACATACTTTTTTTCCTTCGTCTCTGGATCTTCGTAGACAATTTCGAACATTTTCGAGAAGTTCTGACCCAAATGATGACTGGTGCCACCTGTGAAAAGGGAAAGAGATGAGCTAATGAAAAATAATTCGAAATTAGGTGGTTTTTCAAGCAGAAAATGAACTTTGATTTGAAAAAATTGAATCGTAAGAGCAAATTTAAACGTTGGTCTAAATTTTGATCCAATCAATGTGGAATTGAACTCAAAAGTAGTCACTGTTAAAAAAAACTCCCATAAATATACCTTGAATAGCTCGGCCACTGGCTGCAATATAAGCTTCAACGGTGGTTGTGTAATCACCACCAGCAAACTTTTCTTTTTCGGTCTTTCTTCCCTTCATCGTTGGAATTGCAAGCAAATCGGAGTAGATGCGAGAGTAAAGATCTATAAAATCAAGAAATAGAAATGAAATAAATTTAGAAAAAAATTACATTGCCCATTGAATTTTCGCTTACCCAAAATGGTTAAGACTTCAGCATCGGCGTCTTCTTTCTTTTCGTAAGCAGTGTGTCCTTCTTGCCACAAAAATTCACGTGTGCGCAAGAAAGGTTGTGGATGTTTGAATTCCCATCTCACCACGTTGCTCCATTGATTGATTTTAATCGGGAGATCACGGTACGATTGAACCCATTTTGCGAATGTTGGATACATAACTGTTTCGGATGTTGGTCGAATGGCAACCGGTTCAGCTAATTCGGATTCACCAGATTTGGTGACCCAAGCAACTTCAGGCGAGAAATCAGCAATGTGATCTTTTTCTTTCTCCAAAGCAGCCTTTGACACAAACATTGGGAAATAAACTTCCTTCACACCCAATTTTTCAATCTCTTCGGTGAACCACCGTTGAATCACTTTCCAAATGGCAAATGACCAATCACGCAGAATGTAGCACCCAGACACGTCATAGTATTCGATGAGTTCAGCCTTTGTGAGCACTTGCGAATACCATTCTGGTAAATTATCTTCTTTTGTTGCTTCCAAACCCAAGCGAGTCACTTTCTTTGCACCACCATCCTTATCAGCTGGTTTCTCTTTTTCGACCGGTTTTGGTTTTGCCTCCTTGGCTGGTTTTGGTGCCTTTGGACGTGGAGCATTGCCTGCATCGCCCGCTGGCTTCCAATCTTGTCCAGTTAATTCTTTGTACTTGGCTTTTAAGCTCAATAAAGTTTTTACTTCGCTATCGATTTTTGCTTTGTCAGCTTTTTGTGCCTTCAAATCGCGTACAACGTTGCCTTGTTGTGCAATTTGGACGCTCAACTGTGTTGCGTCACTCGCTGGTTGTGCCATTGCTGTCGTTGTTGTTGTTGTTGCTGCTGCTGCTGCTGGTTTCTGCAGAGAAAAATATGCAAATTGAATATTTTGACACTCAATTTACTTTAAAATTTTCTTTCCAACTTAACGGAATTTATAAATGTTCTGAAAAATATGGAAAGAGTATGGAAAACTGTTTGAACCAAGTTTTCATTCAACATTTGCATAAAAATTTGATCAACATTAGCATTTGTTTTCGCACTGGTGTTTCTTAGCAAAAGAATCGTGTGTATGTTAGCAATATCGAAATAAATATCAATAAAAACATTGATACACTCAATACCAAGTACCCGAAATTGACTTAAAATATCTCTCGCTTTAAAAACTCAAAAATTCAATTTCTGCAAAAAATACTGCACACTAACCAACTAACAGTGTACTATCTACGAAAATTCAAATTAAGCAATGCCACGCAAACGCACATCAGTTAAACATTCGATCGATGCAACTATCATATTTACTTTTACTTGTTGCTATATTCGTCTCTTTCTACTGTCGAACGGTCAAACGAATACACAATATCAACACACTACTACCACTACCACGGACACGTGGAATGTTGACTAACTGAGTTGTTGTGCTATGTGCTTGGTTGGAATAGTTTGACAGACGGAATGAAGTAGAAGGAAAAATGAGAAAAAGTGAAAGACTTACGGCATTCGCAGCAGGAGTAGCGTTGGCATTAGGCTTCCAATCGTTTCCTGTCAACGTTTTGAATTCGGTTTTCAATGCCAACAGTTTTTTCACTTCGGAGTCAACTGTTGCTTTATCGGCTTTTTTCGCTTTCAAATCACGTACAACATTGCCCTGTGCAGCGATTTTATCGTTCAATTCGGCGGATTTATCCGAACTTCTTTGCGTTGGCTGTGGTGCAGCAGCTACAGGAGCGGCGCCTGGCTTATAGTCTTGACCAGTTTGCGCTTTGTACTCAACTTTCAGTGCAAGCAAAGTTTTCACTTCGGTGTCGATTTGTGATTTGTCGGCTTTTTTCGCCTTTAAATCTCTCACCAAATCGCCTTGCTTCACAATTTTTGAAACAATATCAGCGGATTGTGGTTGTGATTGTGATTGTGATTGAGCTGGTTGTGGAGCACTTGCAACGAGTGCTGCTCCTGGTTTGTATTCTTGGCCTGTTTGGGCTTTGTATTCAGCCTTCAACGCGAGCAATGTTTTCACCTCAGCATCAATTTGTGACTTGTCTGCCTTCTTTGTCTTCAAATCCCGTACCAAATCGCCTTGCTTCACAATTTTATCAACAATATTGGCAGATTGGGCGCCAGCTTGTAGGGCAGCAGCAATTGGTTTGACTTCTGGAGCGATTGCGCCTGGCATCCAGTCTTTTCCAGTTTGTGTTTTGAACTCAGATTTCAAAGCGAGCAAAGTTTTTACGGCAACATCGATCTTTGATTTGTCGGCTTTTTGTGACTTCAAATCACGAACCAAATTGCCTTGCTTTGTAATCTTATCGTTCAAGTCACCGGATGATGGCGAAGATTCCTTTTTAACTGGAGCAGCATTTGGTGTCCAATCAGCACCAGTTTGTGCCTTATAGTCGGCTTTCAATGCAAGCAAAACCTTAACGGCAGCATCAATTTTAGCTTTCTCAGCCTTTTGAGATTTGAGATCACGCACAAGATTTCCTTGGGCAGCAATTTTCTCACTCAAACCATTAGCAGATGACGATGCACTGCTGCTGATGGTTTTAGTTTTAGCAGCAGCGGCTGGTGGTGCTATCGACGACTTTTGAGAACCATCTGGAATTTCGAAGAGAATTACAGTTGACGCTTTGCCAGTGTGTGTGCTCGGTGGAGCATAGGCGTTGTCAACACGGAAGAAACCACGGCGTTGCAACTGAATGATATCGCCCACTTTGCACTTTTTCAACTCAGGATCGCCCAACATTTGAACCTCTTTCTGGATTTGGGGAAAAGAGATTGAAAGTGATTAAAAAATGATAAAAACAATCGTTGAAAATAGACTAGAAAAACTATAAAGTTAAGAAGATGAATGCCAAAATCGTCTAAAAAGATAGTAAAAAGAAATTTCAAAACTATTACAATCTGGTTTTTACTTACTCTCGTATCCTTTGCAACGTATTGTTTGAAGTCTTCATCTTTGCCGAGCACTGGTTTGCTGATGATATGTTCGAAATAGACGCAAACGGTTGGTGGGAAATCATCTTTCGATTCACCTTCATACAACCAGGTCAATTTCACTGTCTTTTTATAGTCTTTATTCTCCAGATTTGGAACAGCATCAATGGATGTGATCTTTTTATTCCCATCACGATTGATTTTCTTGATCAGCAAATTGCCCCAATTGATGAAGGTAGCGTTTTCACCTTCCTTCAAAGTTTCGGCATCTTCGTAGTCGATCAAGATACGTGGCCCAGTCCAAATGGTCTTTTGCCCAACTTCTGGATTCTTTGGATGGGCAGCAACTTGAACCTGTTCTGCTTTTACGCCAGCCACGTTGATGACAACCGTTTTGTTCAGTGTTAAGGCAGTGTAACGTGGAGCAATTGGATCGATGACTTTCTTGTTGAATGCCCAAATCTTATCCCATTCCATGAAAACGACTGCTTTACTTGAACCTTGAGCAATGATGAATTCACTCAAACCTTTCACTGTCAAACCACGTCGTACGATACCACGTACCGTTGGGAAACGTGGATCGTCCCAACCATCGACCAAACCCTCATCCACGAACCACGTTAGTCTTCGTTTTGAAAGTACAGTATTTGTCAAGTTCAAACGACTGTAATCGTAGATTTCTGGACGACGCAGGTTGAGCGCTTCGATGAACCAGAAGAACTGTGGATTTCGGTCGTGATATTCGGTGGTTCGGAGAGTATGCGTTACACCTTCAATGGCATCGACAATTGGACAGGCGAAATCATATGTGGGATACACTCTGGAACGCGGAAAAAGAAAGGAATATGGATGAGCTTCAATTAAAAAACAAAGATACGATTTTTCACAATTTACTTGTATTTCTTTCCAGTCCGAGGATGCTCTTCATCTTTGCACCGGTAAATGGTTGGATCACGCATACATCCATTGTTTGAATTCATATCGATCTTGGCGCGAACACAGCACTTCTTGCCAGCAACAGTACCGGCCAACATTTCCTTCCACATTTCAAGATTTTTCTCATATGCTAAAGGTAGATTTTCATCCAATTCAATTAGATTGTTATTTTTTCTCATTCAAACAAGTTGAGGTCATTTTTAAAATAGAAAAAAAAAACTCATTTCATCTACTCACAATTATCTCTATGCTTTGATGCGATTCTCGCTTCGCGTTCCTTTTTCATTTGTTCCGGTTCGGTGTCATCGACATAAGCCTTGCCTTCTTTCAGCATTCGTTCACAGTACTCGATCATTAAATCGAAGTAATTGGATGTGTGTGTGAATAGATCGGGTTTAATTTCGAGTAATTTCAAATCGCCCAAAATGACTTGTTCGAATTCGACAGTTTCCTTTGCAGGATTTGTGTCATCGAATCGCATGATCAATTTTCCCTTGAATGCATTAGCATAATGCTGATTGAGTAGAGCTGCTTTGGCATGTCCGATGTGCAGATATCCCGATGCTTCTGGTGGGAATCTCACAACAACTTCACCCATTCTTGCATTTGGCAATTCGACAAACTTTCCTTCTTGTTTGCGTTCAATTGCCGGTTGCCGCTTGATTGCTGTTTCAGTGGCTGTTGACAATGTCTTCTTGGCTTCATCTGGCAATGCGGCTAACGCTTGTTTCACACATTCTTGTGCTTCAATCAAATTATACCATCGCTGAACATGGCCTGGAATTCCTATTTTCTTTGCGCCCACCAATTGACGCGACAGCTGTGAAAACACCGCCAAATCAGCGATAGTCAAACTGTTTGTCACCAAATAGGTCAATGCACCCAAACATTTCTCAAGATATGCCAATGATTTGCTCAAATCATTTCCGAATGTCAACGAAAATGCAAGCCATTGATCGATTTGTGTCTGTTCAACGGGATTCGATCCGTAGAGCTTGTACTTGCCGGCAATGCGACCGATGAAACGTAAGATATCATTTTCGGAATTGTACACAAATTTTGCATTTTCGTCGCCAAATGAAATTGTTGATTCTTTTCCCCATTCAAGTCCAACGGGATTTGTTGCCTTCACCAACTCAATGGCAGCCAAACCACCTATGATTTTTAAAATGATGCAATAGTTAATGATGCAATGGTTCATTGAGATTGGTAAATTCTCAAGCCACTTGAGATAAAGATGTGAAAAACACATAACCTCAATGAAAAAATAAATGCCGTAGTAAACAAAGAAATAAATTAACATGTTGATCTTACCAACTGGTGGATTGTTCACATTACAGGTGATTTTTTGCGACATTGCAATCACTTTTTATTCGCTTGCTATGATGAACAATAACAATTTTTTCCGCTTGTAGCACGTCGCCGTGTAGATTCCGTACGAAAAACACTATGTGAGTTGTAAGTACAACACATGCACTTGCATTTATATACTGACAGAATGGATCAGCTGTCAACGTCAAGCAACACCATCGAGTATGGAATGTCAAGAAAAAAAACATGAATGAAATCAGTGTGACCCGATGGGAATTGAAAATCGGCGCATAAATATTATCGAGATGTGAAAAGATTATTATTTTTGGATTTAAAATTAAATTCGAATTGAATTAATAGTTTCGAAGACAGAGACATTTTATTTATGGAAATATGTTTTTTGCTCTTGAAATGATAGAATTTACTAACGCCGAGCAAAAATAGAGTTGTCTTCACGAAAATCGCATATGCAACGGAATCCATGTGTTTTTGAATGAACCAACGTGAGCGAGTCGCATAACAACAACAACAGCCAAAAAATTCACCTCACCACGCACACTTTCCAAGGTGAATGAAAACACCATTGTCTCTATGAAATGTCAAATGTTTTGTAATAATATTTGCGTTGAGTGCACGCACACATTTGCACAAGAAGAGAGAAATTCAAGAAACTTTATTGTACACATAGAGCTCATCTGGTTTGAGTATCAAAGAATATATATAGAGAGAAAGAAGAGAAGAAGAAAAAAAAACTACTACATTGTATAAATTTTTGTAAAATTCATCTTTTTTTTGGTTTGGTTATCATTGAAACGGAAATAGTTTACAAATTATTTTGAAAACATTAACAAGTTTTCATTGAATGAAGAATTGAATGTGTAAAATAAAGGCAGATTTATTTATTTATAGCACTTTTACAGCAAGAAAGGTTTAAAAAAAAAAAAAGAAATTCGTTTATAAAGGAACTGTGATAAGTTTTTCATTTCGTTTTTGCTGAAGAAAGAAAAAGAGAGAAAGGGAGAAAGGCAAAGTTGCGACAAATTCATTAAAATTTAAAACAAAAAACGATCAGCTCCTTCGATTGTCTTTCGTAGAGATTTCTTTTCTTTTCGATATACAACAACAATAACAAAAAAAAAACAGCCGCTAACCATGTCAAAATACATAACAGCGTAAGTGAATTTATAGAAAATGTGATAGAGTGCAGAACAGAGCCAGGTTTGATGTATCCAACTACAAAAACATTCCAACATCGCAGCAGCAGCAGCAGCAGTAGCGAAGCATTTGTAGGTTATGTACACCAAAATGTTGTGTCCCATAGCTTTGCAACACTGATTTTCATGGGAATACCTCATTGCCCCGATGGAAATTATTCAATCAATCAATTTTCTATACAGTCAAATGCATCCATTTGGAGTGAATGACCTAAATTAAATTATCTGTGCACTGCGAAACAGTGTTAAGTGCCAACTGCAACTTTTGCTTGCATATTGACTTTCCAAATGCATATTCGATAAAATGACAAACTTTGATTTTGCTCGCTGAGTATTTTCATTCAGTTTGGTTTTTCTCAACATGTGGAATGTTTAATACACGTTTTTTGGCTTCGAATGAGTCATAAAAAACGTGGTTCCTAATATATAGATAATAATGCATTCATCGCGTCTAAGCACCATTTACTTAGCAAATAAACCTCATTAATTGATGTGCTTTTAGTTGATGCACCTGGCTCTATTTGCTTCTAATTTGATGATTTATTAATTTATTCAATTATGTGCACACATTTTCACATTTTTATTCGAAGCAAAAAGCATGCAAAACTATTTCCCCCTAACGAAAAGAAATCCAATAATAAACCATTGTGTATTTTACAGAATGAAAGCGTACGGAGGAGCCGACAGTGATGAGAGTGATACAGAGGTTGCTGAAGTCGATGTCGACAAATTGCCACCACTAGACATTAGTCCGGATGAACACAAACTACAGTATACATACTGTTTGTGGTATCATAGAGGCTCGTACAAAATCAAAAATCCATCGGTAAGATATGATGTGCGTATGATTTTTTTCTGTTTATCATTCTGTCTTGTGGGTGGTGGGATATTCATTCACAACTGAATAATTCATCAAGTTGCATTCTATTTGAAAGTTGAGTTGACATTTTGTTAATTTAAAACCAAAAAATGTGTGCTTGAATTTCGACAGGATTACAGCAAATCGTTGCATTTGATTGGTCGTTGTGCATCTGTTGAGCAATGGTGGGGCCTTTATTGTCGTTTGATACGTCCATCAACGTTGAAACCATATCGGGAGCTGCACTTGTTCAAAAGTGGCATCAAGGCGATGTGGGAAGATCCACAGAATGCTAAGGGTGGCAAGTGGGTGATCCGTTTACGTAAAAATAAAATCGATCGTGCGTGGGAAAATGTTTGTATGGCAATGCTGGGCGAACAATTTCTCGTCGGTTCGGAGATATGTGGTGTTGTTTTGTCGACTCGTTTTCCGGTTCGTGCAAATGCAATTTTCTTATTTCATTCGATAATTTCCCTATTAATCACATTCGGTTGGAATGGAAACTAATTGCGGTGTGTTTTGATTACAGGAAGACTTGTTGTCGGTGTGGAACCGAAGTGCCGCAGATCAAAACTGCACGAACAGAAGTAAATACATACAAAAACTACTTTGCTTCCACTTTAAATGGACCATGTCTGTTATCAAACGAAAACTAAACTATTTTTTTCAATCTTACAGTTAGAGATACTCTGAGGCGGATTCTCAATTTGAGCCCAAATACACCGATGGTAAATATAAAATCATTGATAAAAACTCAATTTTTAGCCGCAGAACTAATCGAAAATGTCCCGTTGCAGGAGTATAAGAGTCATTGTGACAGTTTGAAATATTTGAAATCCGTGTCTTCTTCGTCACCATCGGCATCGACGACTGTATCAACAACAAATTCATCTCCAGCTGGTAACGCAACAACTAGCACTAGCAACAGTAATGCCTACAATCCGCCGATCACACGGAACAATGGAGCGGGCAATGGCGTAATCGGTGCGCCCACATCTCGTTTCTTCTCAAGACCATTCACAACCACTTCACACAGTTAACACAGCAGTCATTAAAACAAATTGTTTATTTTCATTCACTGACACCTATGCACACCGACAGCAATATTATCACAATAAAGAAACAAAAAAAAAAAATAATAAATTGAAGAACAACCGAACGAAGTCTTGATTCTTCGATTCGAAACAAAATTTCGTCGACGGTTAACTGAGATGCATATTTAAATGAAAATGAAACGGAGAGAACATCAAATAGAAACACCATATTTTTTATTACTTAAACGTTCCAAAACGTGCGTTTCTGGACAATATTCATTTCTACTTTGAGAAAAAAATTCTAGTTTGAAAAAAAAATTGTATAAATCTATGGAATGAACAAAAATTATGTAAACCTAAAAAAAAACCAATTCGGACGTTAATTATTATGTTGGTAAAAAACTTCAAGAATAAAACCTCAATGTTTTTTTTCTTACCACAACCGATTTCTGTATTTTTATTATTTATGGCTCCAAGTGTTGTATAAACACTTAACAGAAGAAAAACGAATTCGAGGAAATGGATTAATTAATATTATTAAATGAACGCAACGAAACCAAGCACATTGAACACACACTTCGTGTGACATACTTTGCTAGTATACAGCATAGCGAATTTGATCGACTGGCCATTGCTTTCTCAATACCGCATACAAGCGATGCATGTTACACAACATGTGCAGCGTGTGGCCGATGTGCTTGCAAATGCTCGTTTTCTTTGTTTACATATCACAGATTTGGCAATCATACAATCTAATTATGTTAATCAAAATGTTAATTCGCCCCTCGGCGCACACACTCGTGACTCATTTCAAAAATGTGAAGAAAATTACAACAAAAAACATGGCATCAAGAGGAGTTTCGTCGAAAACAATTTGATCGGAAACTTTTACGCAGTTTTACGTAGAGTTGCGCAAAAAATTGGTGTGGTCATTCCACGAAACAGATGGTATGGTGGAATTGCTCAAAAAGAAATTGAAACATTGGTAAAATTGCATGGTCATAGCTTTCCGCAGCTACATGTTGGGTTTGCAGCAAACTGTAGAAAGATTGACGACGGCAAGTTCTCCCATGAATTTAAAAAAGTTGAGGACAAATTTGGCATTGGTTTACCAGCAATCGATCAGAGTTCAGACGAATGGTACAGCGAAGAAGAAGACGACAATGAAGGGATCAGTGTTAATGCATCTAGTGCTGTAAGTAAACTTGATTTATTTAGCCAATGACAGAATTTCGACCCAGGTGTACATATATTTCAATGCTCTTGTCCAATTTAGCCACATGTCAGTTCATTCAATGGTGCCCAAAAAGACAACCAAATCGAGAATAAAAAACCAACGAAATGGAAGTCGAAGCATCAATCGATGCGACCAATGACGATGAAGCCAACGGTGACGTGAGCTTTGTTTATGCATCTAGTGCAGTAAGTACTAACTTGCACACTTTAACCAGTGATAAATTTTCGCACGGAGAATAAAATTGCTTCATTGCTTTTGTCCAGTGTAGCTATCACAAGCGTCAAAAAAGAGCGAGATAAAGACGATAAGCCTGGTGAAGCAAAAATCAGCTCGGGCACTCGTAGCGAAGCGTAGATTTGAATTAGAACCCGCATACGACTCGACGAAAAATCGCCTATCCAACAATATTTCATCCAACTCAATCCGTAATAATTGATCAAAACTATTTCAAATGTTTCAACAACATTAAACCATATTCATTATTAAATCATCAACAATCAACACTCTTAGTGTAACAGATAGTATGAAAGAGACAGTTGATAATGTAATGAAATCCAATATTCGTGTCCATTTTCCGATAAATTAACCCATTGGCAGTTAATGCAAGGTGCAAAAGTATATTGAGATTTTGATAAAATGTTGTGGGATTAATATTCGAAAGTCAAGGATGGTTTTTCTGAAGTTTCATGATATTCTGACCAAGTAAATTTTTTTCGACTTTTCGTGTATTGCTTGGGAAATTCCGAAAATTGTATCTGTAGTAGGGACTTTAACTCACCTTAGAACTAACGATTATTCAGTTAAGCAAATGGAACTTGCCAAATACTAAGCAATGCCATTCACGCACTTCAAGTCTTCAATCAAACCTAAATATCACCTGAAATTATGATCACATGAGAATCAAACAAAACAAAACAGCTTTGCTTGGAATGTTGAACAAAACAATTAAAATGCGCTTCAATTTTCATTTATTTGCATTACACTCATAAAATCAATGTAAAATGTTTTTTTTTTATTGAATTTCGTTATTTTAATTTTTTTCCACGCACAATTACAAATGTCACATCTCTTAAAAACGAATTTATTCTTTTTCATTGTTCAATTATATGTTTAATCAAATGTGTATAAAAAACCGTCTTATCATTGAGATTTTACTAGAGGTTGAATTTATCTAAAAATTAACGTAAAATTGAACGAATACAAATGGTTTTTTCATTAATTTTATTTTCATCTGTTTATTAAACTTTCATTTGAGGTAGCGCCAGTAAATGCTACAATGTAAATAGAGTGTGTTTCATTTGCATGATGATTTCGGTTTCAATGGTACTGTGAATTTCATATATGTTTTCTGGCTTCATTACTCTTTTTCAGTCGAACATGCGTTTTCCGATGGTTGAGCATCTCAGCATTTCGTATGCTGCGGATATATCCGAGCATATCGACGACGCATACTTATGCGGATCGGATATATCCGCAGCATACGAAATGCTTAGATGCTCAGCCATCGGAAAACGCATGTTTGTTTTCAGTTCAACGGAAGGGAATTTTTTCATGTTTCCATTAGGTGCTATTTCTTGCTCATTTAGGTAACTATTTTAGAATTGGATTCTTACACATTTTCCAACCTTGTTTCTATATTTACGCACACTGACACTGATCCATTCATAAAGTTATCCATAAAAAGTGATAGAAACAATTCACTATTCAAATCAACAAAACCTTTGGACATCTCAAAATAGCATGACAAACGGATATTATTCATTAAAAGGTTCAATTGTTTTTTTTTCTTCTCTTGTTTATTTACATTTAATATTCAACATTATTATTTGATAACTGCATGAATTAAAAAAAAAAGAATTGTTGCATTTATTATGTTGATTGGCTTTATCTTTCGTATTTAACATGAAAAGAAATTGTCATTTTGTTCATAGTAGGAAAAAGGTATCGAGGTTCAGGTTCCGTGTTGTGTTTCAACTAGAGTTGGCTATTGTTTGTTTAGGAAGATTACTAGAACGATTCAAAAGGTATGAGTTGTTTAATCTCAGTGTATGGCTTTACATCAACAATAGTTTGCTCCTTGGTTTTGTTCTATTTCATTTTATCTTAATTACTATTTCTAGTTGCGGTCAAAAAGGTGTTAGAGGTATATCGAAAACTAAGAAAGCAGTCTGCCAGAAAGAAGCCTCCAATCTAAACTTTGATTGACTTTTCTCCAATTAGGTGTGTGATTTTGTTGGAGATTTACTTTGATTTTGTTCCAAAAAAACTCTTCTTATTTGATCCTGCTGTATTGATTGTTTTTTTTTTTTTTTTATTATTGTAAGCCAGAAATGAGCGTAAAAAGATTCGAAAATTGTTGACCGTTTATTTCGTTTCGAATGGTTGGCTATCGGAATGGGTTTAAAATTTGGTTCCATTTCCATGATTTTCTTTTTGTACATTGTGTGATAAAGGCACCACATTTTTATGCAAAAATCAGTTTGAACGCCTTTTCCCCAATATTTGTTGAATCTCTCGTCTGTCGTAACGTGCAAAAACATCCATTAAAAATCTGTTTTATAAAACTTTTGCAAGATTAAATGTCAAACATTTCATTTTTCTCTGGAATATAAAAGCCATTTTTCAATAAACAGTTTTTTTTTTCTTTCTTTCCTTGAGCCAGCGATTGTGTTCCGTTTTAGAGTTTCAACCCAAAAAATTGTGTTTTTTTTTTCTTCTACTGTTGTTGTGTTCAATGCATGAGACATGGATAAAAGAAAGCAGAGGAGGTTTTTTTCGTCTATTTTGTTATATATATATATATGATTATATATCAGGTACACGCAGTGAAACTATTTGCGCTTATCAACGCTTTTGACAAAAAAGAAAGTGAAAAAAAAAACGTTCCAGAATTACGGTGTCTGTATTACACTCTAATTTTACTTATGACCTTATTGAAATGTTTCTTTAGCTGCTATTAATACTATATAATATTGTTGTCAATACAGAATGACTTCGAAAAATTTTCCCCTTGCGATACAAAATGTTTACTCTCCTGTCACTAATGGAAACAAACTGGATGTGGACGGAAAAATGAAAAATGAAAAAGGTGAATATGACATTTTCTCGTATAATTTTTCTCTTTTTCTTCTTTTCTTTTTAAATACCAATCCTCTTGAAATACATCTTGATTCTATTTCATGCTCGCTATTCACTCATCATCGTGACACTTCTAAACAAGAAATTATAACATATAATTAAACTTCAACGAAAATATAAACGGTTCAGGTGTTTGTTTGCAGTAAGAGATTTGTTAAATAAAATTTGAGATTAAATAAAATAATAACTGATAACAGAAAAAAAAAATAAATGCTTGCTGTGTATGTAAACGATATATTAATAATACGGGTGGCTATTGTGTTCTATTTGTAGTCATTCTTCAAAAATAGAATAATATAGTGAGGGAAGGGGGGCAATTGACATGTGTGTTCGTAGGTGTAGTGTATTCACAATAAGTGAACGAAAAGAATGAATATAAATTGTATAATTTTTTTTTGTTTTTTCAAAGAAATCATTATTTCGTATCCAAAATTTTCACTTGAATCATCGAAACAGTTTCGTCTAGATTCCAACGAAATGAAATTATATTGTAATTTCCCACTGTGATTCCGAAATTGGTAAAAATGACAAATTATTTACAATTTTGATGAACACTTAAAAATCTATCCAAATGATGTATCCTATTAATAGCCCAAAATTGGTTAGCTACACAATTCTTGAAGATTTTCTCTTTCTTCTGCATGTGTGTGTATACATTTGATTCTTACAATTTGAAATGACTTTACGACAAAATTCGTAAATAAAAAAAAATTATTTAAAAAAAAATGAACCGTGAACGATGAAACACTTATCGTTTTTAAAATTGATTTATGCATGAAATTACGTCTAATTGATACCCGTTAACGTCATTTTTTATGGAATTTTATTGTAAACGTGCGATCGAATAATCACCACGATTTCTTCTTTTCTTCTTAAAAAAAAAAAAGCATTCCATGTTGGAAAACGTTTCTGGTGCCCAAGTGAAAATGTGTGAAATAAAATACTCGAAACAGAGAGTATGTCGAAACATTAAAGTTAGAATGGGAATTTTGATTTCGTCCATTTTCACTTGGGCATTTGACTTTCGTCGTTGTGTTTGATTGCAGTCAAAGGTGGTTGGTTACACATTTCGATAGTAGTCATGGCTTGTAAATTAACTAATTTCATGAATTGAGGCGGTTGTCATGCGTGTAGCCGCGGCTCAATTCAGATATCACAGGTACATTGCGGTCGGACAGCGTTATTTTCTTTCGATTTTCGGCTGTCTGGTTTTTCTCTATTCATATTTGTTCACCTTCCGATTAATGGTAGCAGCCCTAGACTAACGCAGCCGACCGCATGTATCTCTGATTTTCAATGATCGGATGCGGTGCCCCATTATCGAATGTGTTCACATCGAAGATGCAATTGGTTTTGTTGGCGATGCGATCCATTGGCACGGATCCGCTGCTTGTGCTCGCCGAACTGCTTTCGGTCGCATTAGCGTCTGGTAGTAAACTTTGTTGGCTATCATCAAAAATCGATGGAATCGATACGTTTGACTTGTGGGCCGTGGATATTCGGTGTTTTGGATGATGATTGACTTTATCGTCGTTTGTCCGTTTTATTGTCGGTGGAATTTCAGTTTCATTATAAACAATGGAATGTACGGATTTATTGGGAGGTAGAGTGGTTTTCATCTGATGCAATGTTCCGTTACCGAGCGTTATGTTCGGTGCAATTTCAGCAGCCCCAAGTGCGTCAAGATCGCAATCGATGCGCCGATACGGTAAATCAACTGGATTGGCAGTATGTGATCCATGATTTGTACTTGTGTTTTTCAGGTGATCGTTATTTGCGTTGTTTGTTTTGTGCTTTAATTTTGGCGTCGACGAAATCAAACCGCAACGCATCAAATCGGCATGATCATCATCGTCCGAATGGACGTTTGCATTGTTGAAACTGTTGCGATTGCCACGTACAACAACACCATTCATATTATGATTATCGAGTTTTTTCGCTACACCGTTTCCATTCGTCGATGGGATATTCTCAACGCTCGATGTTACGATTAGCGTTTGCATTTCATGCGCGTCTGGTGCACAATTGGCAGATATTTGAGCCGATGAGTTGGGAACTATCATCGTTGTACCTGTCACAGGTGCACGATTCAATGGTGAACGATTCTGAAAGGAGCCTCGCGCATTGTTACCATTGCCATTAATATGCTGGTGTTGCGGCGATTTTGAACATCGACGATGACGAATGATGATTAGCACACAGCCGATGATGCACAGAACAGACAGCAGTACACCAATCGAAATGCCTAAACGAGGATCTCGATTCTTTGCATTCATTCCTTCATCTTCTTCGGGAATATCCGTTACATCACGCAAATCCACGTAAATTGGTAAGCCATTGCCAAAATTACTTACAGCACAGATTGATATATTGAAACGATCAGTGTCCTGTAGGCCTGGGAACTGCGATTCGAAAGAGGAAAGAAGGAGAAAATGGAAATATTTTGATTAAATTATGCATTCAACTTAATAGTATCGGTTTTTATATGTTTAACTTACTTCAAACACATTTTTCTCTCTTTCTTGATATCGAAATTCTTCCGAGTGTGTTACATTTCCGATAGTCCATTGGATTAAATAGTGATCCAAAATGCCATTCGGTTTGGTTGGTGCACTCCATTCGAGCGCGATGCCACCATTCTTCTTATAAACCTTGTGTTCGGACACGGAGCCAGGAACTGTTCAAAGTAAACATCGATTTTAATCATTATGCAGGATGAAAAATGTGATTAACCAAACTTACTATCGTGTTCAGTTTCAATGTCACCTTCGAAAAACAATTTTTTTGACTCGCCGCATTGATACAAAAGAAATTTGTAGTCTGTGGCTGCTGTCAGCGAATCAACTTCCACAAAGGAGTTTTGAATAGATCTGCAAATATAAAAAAGTTTCGTCAATTCGATGTTGTATTGCGACATCTACGAGAGGCTATAAATTACCTTTCATCGCAAATTTTTTCGCCATTTGTTTTATAGCAAATTCGAACACATGCCAGCTTTCGATCCATCGATTGAAATATAACGTGATTAATTCCAACACTGCGTATTGTAAACTTTGCCACGGCGCCCGAAACATCTTCAATCTATTGACAAGATGGGAAAAGTTATTTTCGCAAAACAGTTTTGATTCAATAAATTATGCAAAAAAAAAAAAATTATTTCGAAAAGTGAGAGCACACGAACCTTTTTCCACTCCACATATCTCACGTCTTGGATGAGTTCGCCTTCATCATCGATTATCGGCACCAAAACACGTACGACAATTTCATGTGTATTCGGTATTAAAATGCCCGACACATTCCCATTGACGCGCAATTCGGTTATCATCTTTGGATTAGTTTTCTTCCGTTCGATTGAAGCGGATTTTGTTGTTTTATCGACATCGTCCTCGTCACCATTACCGTCATCAGCATTTGTATTTGGGTAGATGTTCGCAACTACAGGTATATTTGTCAAGTCACTAGAAATGTCATTCCATGTTTGAAATTCATCAATGTGCCGCGTTGTTCCGACTATGTGATTGCTGAACGCTGTCGTTTCATCACTTTGAAATTGTATCACATATGCAGTTACATTGTTCTGTTCCTTTGGCCACCAAACAAAGATTCCACTCGGAGAAAACATTCCGTACACGGGCACTGCAAGTGAAATTGGAGATATATTATTATATTGAATGAAATTCACTTGAAAATACTTTAGAGAAAATGCTAATTTTCTATTTGAATTAAATATTCATGTTCAGAATTCTAAAAAAAAAAAACAACATTTTTTTAACGTGTATTTCAACGAATATTTGAATTTCAATTGAAAAGCGGTTACTTACATCCTTGAGTGGCACATTTGATGCCTTCGGATAATCGGGAAATATCAAACTGCCAGCTAATTGTGCCGCCTTTCATCCGCGTTGTATCCGAACTGGTTTTTTCCATTCCACGAAAGTAGAGCATGAGCGGCTCGAATGGCGGCCTCTTCGAATCCGATATGATGAATTCATTCTGAACGCGTCGGTTTTCATCGTGCAACAAATTTGAAAAAAATTGCGGCTCACTGTACTTGCTGGCAATATAATATGTAATTGCCGACCACTATGGAAGCAAATAAGACACATTTTCGTGATTAGAACAAATTGCGGGCAAATCCATTACTTGAGAAACTTTTTTTGGCGGAAAAATGATTTATAAATGATATTTATTTGAGAGCATAATTCAAAAAAGCTATACATGGTTTGAATAACCACATACTTTATAATGTTGCGGTCCATCAAAAACCACCTTGAGCGATGTGGAGTTGAGCGGGAAACATTTCGGGTTTCTCGGTGGATCGGGATACACTTTGGGTTTAAGGCTCAATAAACCCGTTGCTTGAGCTTCACCAGCCACATTCGTTGCAGCACATTGATAAATGCCTTTGTGTTTCTCCTCATACGTTTGAATCAATAGCTTTGGCTCTTTGTACTTCACAATCCAATCGCCCACAATTAATTTTCCATTGTGATAGAACTGGACTTCTGGCTTTGGATTCCCTGCACAGATTTACATTTTCGATATGTTATTAATATGTTATTGCCCGACATATTTATTATTATTTTATTTTGGAATTCTTTTTTTCTTAATAACGTTATTAAGATTTTGCATAATAATAACATAACATGTTGTGTGTTATATCGGGTGTTATCTTAATAAATCCTATGATTCGGCGATAATAACATATTATTAAGATGCAATCTTAATGAAGCTTTTTTCGCATTTTTTTAACGATCAATTTCCCGTGTTTTGTCTACATTTCCGTGTGTGTGTAGTGTACAAAAAACATTTTCGCTCCAAACCATTCATATTATTAGCGCCGAATCATACGATTTATAACACCCGACATAATGCATAATATGTTATGTGGATATCTTAATAACATAACGGCCGTTATTATTATGTTATTAAGTATAGTTAATAATATGTTATTGCCCGTAAATCTGTAGAATTACCCGTTGCATTGCAATTCAACGCCACATAGAAGCCCAGCGCTTCTTCTTTTGATGAGAATTCATTATGAATGACAGGCGGTGTTGTTATGGTAACATCAAAGGTCTGTAAAACGAAGAAAAAAGGGAAAATAATTGAGAAAAATATCTTTGGTAATAAAAAGTATATAATCAAGAAATAATGAGAAAGGTCGCGAAAAATGAAATGCATGAAGAAAAAATGACTCCACTCTCAAGAGCTATTGTTTGACAAGCGAAGAGGGAAAATAAATTATCACGGTGAAATAGAATCTTTTATGTTTTCGCATGAGTGGTGCCGAGAGATGTTTATCGGAAATTGAAGACCATTTTGGGATGGAAAATGATCATCGTTGAAGAACAATTATTTTTCGATTTTCAAGCCGAAAAAAAGTTTTCATGTACACACACGCGCGAGCAATGTATGAAGCAAAAAAGTCAACATCCATTTAAGGAGTTCTATAATTAGTCAACGGAATTACGCGGCGCATGGCCAAAGTTATGCAAGTAACAAATATTACACAGCTTTGTTTACCTGAATCACGATAACATGGGATCGGAGGTGAAGTGCGGCAAAACGGAGAAAAAAATAAATATTTTTCTTTCTTACACGCTCCAAAATGTACAACAACGGGAAAAAAATAATCGGATTTATGGAAATCCACCTAACAACCAAACATGCGATGATGAAGAAGTTATTTTGAGGAATTGCGTTACAATGATTTATATTAAAAGTACATTAAAAAAAAGTACGCAAAGCTCTTGTTGAATAACAAAAAATATTTGCCTTGAAGAATTTTCTTCCGAAAACCTTCAAATTTGCGGATTGAATTAATAAAAATCAAGTAATTCCATTCATTCAAATAGAGGGTGTTCACGGTGCGTGCAGCAACTACTGCAATTTAAGATGACATTTATGAACGCAATCGGTGTTTTAGTAAGCAGTTAAAGTGTCGAACGAAGAAAAGAATATGTCATTTACTCAAGGGGGAAATCACTCAAAAGTAATTTCTATTTGACGAGTAATTTTTAGGTAATTCGTTGAACAAACAGTAATTTTGAAAGTCGTTTATCGACTAAAAATTACTTTAAAAATTACTACAAATTACTTTTTATTCGATAAATTACTTTTCTATTAGAAATTACTTGTCAAAAATATATATTTCTATGATAAAAAATAATTTGTAATTCTTTAAAAAAAAGCAACAGTGAAAGTAATTTTTTAGAGTGATTTTCCCCCCTCGCATTTACTTGAAATTATGTTATGTTGATCGATTCAGGATTATTTCCCAATAATTCATCATAATTACTATATGCTACGAATATCGGAATGCCCTCTGATCGCATAATCTCGGAATGATATGAAAGTGTACGTTTTGGTCTCGATGGGACGTCCTGCTGTGACAAAAACCCATCAATGCGATACACTCATGCGACGAAAAGCACGAAACTCGCCAAAATCGATACTACTGAAATGATTATAGCGAACGTGTACGCGCACAGTGCGCACACACACTGAGCGAGTTCGCATTCGAAATTGATGCGAATGAGATTAATCAGGAGCACAAATTGGATAATTAAAACCAGTGAAACTGTTCAGTATTTGATAGATGAAACGATATCACGACGTTAATATGCACAATTTATAACACAGCCAAGTTGAACGGCGAATGGTAAAAAAAAGTGGAGATTTGGTTTTTATTCGTTGCTTACCTGATACTCGTCTCCAAAGTGGCATTTGTAGATGCCATCATTCTGCTGAACGAATGTGCTTGCAATGTGCAATCGATTGGGATTATGAGTGGGCACTGCGTTCACGGATGAAGTGCCGGAACGCGGTAAAAATGTCCATCGAATGGCATTTCCTTTTGAAGTGGCAACGGATGTGGGCGCACAATTCAAATTTAAAGCATTCCCATTTGGTACGAACATTGCTTGATTCTGCAGCGCCGGTAAAAGCATCGCATTATTCGTGCTAATTGAATTGATTACTTCAAGTGAATGTTGGATATACTTTGGCTCCTTGGAATATGCATTCCGTGCCACACACCTGCAAATTCGAATCATATTTCAGTTAAACTTTGCTCACGCAAGTGCTTAAACAGTGAACGCAATTACCGGAAACTTTGATAATCTTCATTCTTAACGTTGACAATTAAAAGACTTCCATTGTTTAGTTGAAAGTATCTGTAATTCAATTTGGCGATTATTCGGACATTAGTTCTCGACCGTACGAGTTTTGGATTGAGTGGAAAATCTGTTTTTGGAAAACTGGTTTACCTGTCGGAGGTGTCAAAACTGATGTTCGATTCATTGTTAAAAGTCCATTGAATGTTTGCTTGTGGTACACTGTCAATGGGACAATGCAGAATCACTGAGCTACCCAGTTCAGCTTTCGAACTTAATTTATCGAATTTACGCTGAAAAACTGTGAATAGTAAATCATGTAAATAGCATTGATTGTTTTTTCTACTACTGAAATTGACATTACCTGCTGCCCGGACATGTGATGCTTTCGACACAACCGCACCGACTTCGGGTTTTGTTGTGCTAGCCACACAACGATAAGTGCCCGTTGCCATAGTTGAGTGTCTGATTTTGATGGTGCCATTACAAAATATTTGTGTGAATGAACTATTTGAATCGATGATTTGTCTGCCGTTGTGCAGCCATTGATATTGCACTTCCTGTTGACACAAATTCGTTGCACTCCCATCACTACTCGCAATTATTTGTTGATGTGAATCGTGATTTGGTTCGTCGTTTTGCATATAGTCCCCCTCACTGGGAAAATATGCCTCGTCGGCTTCATAGTCATATTCCGGGTAATCTGTAAAATTAGCCTCACAATGCAGCACAGCAAATGAATGTATGGGAATGATTACATGCTCCTGCGGATGAACAACTAACTTAATCAACGGATCGGGCCCTTTTGTTCCTTGTCCTGATGACAGAAATCCATTTGCTACAACGAAAGAGAAGAAATTCATAAACAAATTAGATAAATCTAACGTGTGAGTAATAGCTGCGGAATCTTTCGGCATGATAACTTTAAAAGAAAACATTTATTAGGTTGGCGATCATTTGAACGAGATCAGAGTAAAGATCAGAAGAAAAAAAATTGTCGTAACAACTACAACGCATAAATGTTGTTGGTGCATTTGAATATACTGAAACTTTATTACGACCGAAGTGGAGAGAAAAAAAAGCATTTACGAAATTAATGTTAGCAATTTACATTTTAACGTAACGTAATAAATAACGCATGTTGGTGTGTTGTACATACACTAGCTGTGTACGCTTTTAAACTGAAACCGAATTTCAATAAAAAACGCTTTGAAATCGCGGTGAGTGGTGCATTGCGCGCATGGGGCACCCAATAAACCGTAATATATTGGCGAAAATGTGAATAATTGTACGCAATTTGGTTTCGGGATCGACCACCCATTTTAAAATTCGAACAATACACGGACATTTATCATAGAAATATTGCCAATTTGTAAATGTGACGGCGATAGCAGCGGCAGCAGAATGAAATTACAATTCCAGCAATTGAACGACGACGATATCAATTCCTCCTTGTGCATATCATGTACGTAGTACACACACACATACACACACTTTCGGTGCCTTTTTAATGTCATGTGGCTCATTTATCTGGCTCTGCGATGCAAGTAATCGTGCATTGGTCGTCGGCAGCTTAACACGTTTTTTTCGTGTTCGAAGCGTACAACCAAAAGCGAGAAGAAAAACACGAGTGAATGAGAGAGCAGCAGAGAGCAGCAGAGAGAGAGAGAGAGAGAAAGTTATCATGTTCCGAAGCCCACATTTAAATTTTATCAAATGAGGAATTCAATGTTTTCCATTGCACAAGCCAAGCAATAGCAACAACAACGACAAAAAAAAAACTCAACGACAACACTGAATTATGCATTTGACAATAAATGTTATTCCGTCTGAATAACGTATGTATGCATTTATTCAGAATTTAAATCGGTTCGTTCGAATGTGGCACAACACAAACACAAGCAAACACAAGCACACACAGTGGGAAAAACTCAGCACGAAACCACTTTATCTGCGCATCCTTGTATTTTCTGTATTGTTCCCAATATTGTCTCGATATTATGTGAATTCGTGTGATTCGCTACTTTGGGACGACATCGTCATCATCATTTCACTCCAGCGACAAAAATAGACACGTCACATTATCGATGCGAAGTGAATTCATTGAACAACAAAACCAAACTCGTCTCATTGGGCCAATAGCTGGCGTGTGTATCCGTTTCAAAATATGTAGTTTTTCGCCAGCACACTAAACATTGAACCATTCATCGTTCCCAGTGGCGCTACACACGATTCGTGTGTGTGTGTGTTTATTTCGTTGTTGTTATTGGTTTGTTTGTTTTTTTTCGTTCATCTTTTACAGATATGCATAAAATATGAGGAAAACGGCAACATGACTTTATCCTCGCGTCTTACGTGATTGATTGTGCATCAAGCGTCATTTAAAATTTAAAACGCGGAAAATGTGCGTAAAATATTGCGTAAGATTATGTGCGTGTGTGAATGAAGCGAGCCAGCGTCGATGATGTCATAAGAAAATGAATGCAAATGACTTGATTTTGTTGAACCAGTAACGTGATTATTATTATCTCCTTTGAAATAGATAGAGTGCGACTTCTTTGTGTGATAAAAATACTGGAAAAATGCTGTTCGCCCCCCCCCCCCCGAAAATATCATGGTTTCGCGCTGATTTGTGCGTACTTGGCTGCGTGCAAAGCGAGCAAGCGAGAAAAACAACACATTTTCTTTTTGTGACTTGACTATTTTTATGATCTCAACACTGTTAATTACGCCACATGGAACTTTTAACCAAACTCAATCTGCGTCATTGTACACACACGTTTCCATACAGCAAATGGACAATAATAATTTATTGTCGAATTTTATCGCTACGACTTAGTTCAATGCGAATGGTTTTTTTTTCCGTTATTCTCGAAATTAAATTCCAAAGAATTCCACAACGGTTTTTTTGTCGTGTCCATTCGATTTCGAATTGATTTTTTTTCTACTCTTTATTGATTCGAAATACAATCTAATTGCGTACGAAATTATCGTATTTTCCCATTGGTTTGCATGAAGAATGAAGAATGGTGAATGCGTGAAGGCAATATACAATGCGCGCAGTGTTGTGTGTGTGAATGTACGCCGTGAAATATAATAGTCGTAGCGTGATTCGATCCGAACATTTCTATAGAGTGTCATTCCCATATAATTTTTTCGAACGCAATTGCGTTTCTCGAACCCGCGCCAGTCGAGCGTGTGTGAGTATGAGATGCGAGAGTTGAGATAAACGAATCGAAATTGAAATGCCAAATGGAAATTGCAATTTATTGGGTACGGTTGTTTTATTTATTCGCCATCAATTAAGCGGAGAACATTCTTTTTTGAAATCGTTTCTTTCGTTTTTTTTTTCCTCCTCTTGTGAGATAGATGTAGGAAAAAAAAGGTGCGGTTCATACGCATTTCAGTTTTGCAAATGTAGAAAAAAAGAAAATTAGTCAGTCGTTTACGCACCATTCGATCAAATGATAGTGTTTTTTTTTTTACTTTAATTCCATGCCAGTGTAAATAATTTGAAATGCATGTACACACATTTTTGAGGTGGAACACTCAAGATAAATCAGAGGAAACAATCGACAATTGACATTTCGGCAATCGTGTACACTGCATTTGTCGATGACAGTTGCTCCAGGTGAATTGCGAATTGGGGGAGAGAGATTTTGGGAAATTTGTGCTGGCAACAGCAACAAAATTCCGACTCACACGGAAATGAACGGTATCGGGGCGGAGAGAACACAGAAATACCATTTGATTTTCATGACATGTACAAACAAAACACATTTCTATTAATCAGATTGAATGTGCTCGTTTCCGTTGTTCTACAAGTTAGAAAATAAAAAAAAAACGAAGCAGAGATGAGGGCGGCAACAGCAGCCAAGTGAATTGGATGTGATTTAACTTTTGTGTATTTGGTGCTTGCTGCTGCCGCTTTTTTTTTTCAGAACAATGGCAAAAGCAATTTAAATGTAAAATACGGCCTAATGTGTTTGGGAATACGTTTGATTCCTGTGCGAGATGTTTTAATAATCCTGCTGAGTCAATCTAAATTATTCAATTTTAAAAACAAGCCCGAGAAAAACAATCGACAGCGTGAAGGACCAAACATCCAAAATGTACTCGATTCAACCGAGATGTGCGATTTTTTGTTTGTGCTTTCAGTGGCGGTTAGCAAATTACGTGCGTTGAATTTCGACACGGTCGCCTGATCTACGCTTATCCATTGTTACATAACACACTCGACAAACATGATTTTCAGCATAACTTGTGCCGATTCCTGTTTCCAACTTGTGATGATGACAGACAAAAAACAAGTAAATCGAAATCATCTAAACGTTTTTCTACGTATTGGTGCTTGAGTTTCCGTGATTTTGTTTTCCTTTGTTCCAGACAGAGAGAAACAGCATTGGTATTCATAGAAAGCTTTTAGACAGAAATTACGCTTCGACACAAATTCATCATTTATATCTGTTATTTCGATCGTCAAACGCGCGGCTATTTGTCGAGAGCGAAGAGAGTGTGTTTCAGACATGGAAAATATTGGTGATATACTCGCACACGCTTTGTCTCGGATTTTAAAATCAATAAAGTGTGTAGACGGTTTTCGCTGTTTAAATATTTAAAAATAAAATCGAAAGAAAGAACAAATCACCGTTAGGTGTCCACGTGTTTGAATTTTCATAATTGAGTCAAAGAGAAGGAGCAACCGAGAGACAGACAGTGAACGAATGTATTCGGTGCGCTTCTTAGGATTTATCGTTGGCTAAAAATCATGTGAGTGCCCACATACGCATGAAGAAATGTGCACGCGTGAAGAAAGGCAAGCAGAAAAAAACTATCCAGTTACATATAATAGCAATTATGATAAAATTACATAAACTGATCATATCGTTGGTCGTGTTTATCTTTTCTGCTTTCGCGTTCTTGCTCTTATTCTCTCTGTCTCTCTCGATGCCTTTATCTAGCTTTGAAGCCGTCGAAGTGGTACGTTTTTCAGAAATGTGCTACACATATTTCATTCTCAATTTTTCTGTTGTGTTGCGCTGCGGTTCGACACTATTTGTACATTTGCGTAGTGTGTCCAACGGCAAAAGCGCACGCATAAAAGCATGGGATTTTTAGGGTGATACGTGTAGCGAATGGAATGCAAATGAAATGCGACCACTGAATCCAATACATACAATGGGCTGTAGTGTATCAGTGTTGTGGATCGGTTTTGTTTACGAATAAATCTATCACGGTTTTGCGATAGAATCATTTGTAAGTGATTGAGAGAGAGAGAGAGAGAGAGAGAGAGAGAGAGAGAGAGAGAGTGAGGAAGGAAGGGAGGTAGAAGCAGAGTTGAGGTTGAAGAAAAAGAGAAGTGAGTTGGAGCAAAATGTGTGCGCAATGCCATTAGCTGAGGAATGTTGGTTTGCTAGAATATTTGCAAACTGTTTCTTCGATTTTTTTTTTCTCTTATTGCCATCTCATATCTCTTGATGCGTGTGCATGCATTTTCATTATGGAATTTTATTGATCGAACGAGGCTTTTAATGCTGCTGCAGCAGGAGCAGGCAGCAGCAGCACAAGTTCCCGTCATGCCATCACATCCATGACCGCACGGGCACGGGCACGTTGATTTTTTTTTTATATTTGCAATTCTTCATCATTTTAGATGTCATTGAGTTGAAAACTATTTGTAATCCATAATATTACCATTTATTACAAAAATAGTCGTTCGGTTCTCTTCTCTTGTCGGTAGTTGTTTTTTCTTCCCATTTTTTGTTTCTTTCTCTTTACGATCACAAGGAACTGGATGTGAACAAGTGAGCGGTTTTGATTCGATTAAATAAGAAATGA